ATGAGCAAAGGACAACCAAAGAGGAATCAAAGCGAGGGACAAAACTTTCTTAAATCGCATCATCACCATCTCGGCACACAGTTTGCTGGGCTTTCTTCAGCTTGGAATAAGTATATTCATGGACTGCAGAACAAAGGTGGGGACCGGTATTTCGAGTGCAAGGAATACCACATGGGAGAAATAACGGGGAGAAAGTGGTTTCTTGCAGGGAAATATTTTGACCTGGGAGAAATGCAAGGTGGGAGAAAGTACACTCAGAGTAAAATTGATACGGTGCGTGGCTAGATAGCGCTTATTTCAGGCACTTTCTCCCAGTTTCTTACACTTTCTCTTAGTTTCTCTCACTTTCTTTCACTTTCTCCCAGTTGCATGCACCTCTCATTTCACGCGTTGTTTGATTTGCAGGACAAGAAATGTAGGAAACCCGCAAGAAATGTTTTTTTACACCTATTTTGACCTGCAAAAATTCTAAAGTTCATACGGCGCGTGATTGCCCGTGTTGCGGGCACTTTCTCCCAGTTTCTGGCACCTCGCATTTCTTGCATTTCTTGTTTTCCAGTGCATGAAATAACGGGAGAAAGTAGTTTCTTGCAGGGAAATATTTTGACCTGGGAGAAATGCACGGCGCAAGAAACTAAACCGCTATATTTCATACGGCGCGTGGCTAGATGGCGCATATTCCTCACAGTTTCGTGCACCTCAGATTTCTTGCGTTTCTTACTTTCACTCTTCACGAACTATGAAAAACCCGCAAGAGCCAAAACCCTCATGGGGACCGTGACCTTCTGCGGAAATATATGAGTGTGGGGACATTATCGTCCGCCGCGCCTGGTTAAATTTTAATCTCTTCTTTTCATGCGGCCGATGAAAACCAATTTGTTTCCAGTGCAGTCTCTCTCTTCGCTAATCTTGCTTTCAAATTTGTCCATGTATTTCTATGTACTCCTATTTTTGGCGGAGGAGAAGAAGATTTAAACTCTGGAAAGTTTTAAATCCTTCGCTTTCCAAAGTTGCTTGCTTACTATGTAGAAAATTGACCTTTTGTTAGGAAAAAGAGCTAGGATTTATTTATTATCTACTCTCCACTCCACTCCACTCCACTCGTGAGGGATGCATAGTTCGGCGTGGGCGGATGGACGAAAAAAATGGGGGTGTAGATTGACGATCGTATCCATTCAGTTGACCAATTTTTCTGGAAAAAGAGAAATCCGCAAAATTTCTGTGTAAAATGTGCCGCTTTTTTGTATTTCTGCAGAAATTTATCTGTCATAACGTTCCAAATGCGAATCAATTTTCAGCAGGTATATTTTCATAGTATGCAAAAATGTGCAAATTGCAAGAATTAACTGTATGAAAATGCTTTTTTGCAGGGATTTTGACCTGCAAAAAATGCAAGGCGTAAGAAACTAGGTCCGGCCGCTATACTTCATACGGCACGTGGCTAGATGGCGCATATTTCTTGCAGTTTTGGCACTTTCCTGCAGTTTCTTGGATTTTCTTGGACTTTTTTTAGCAGTTTTTGGCACTTCCTTGCGTTTCTTGCATCTCGCATTTCTTGCATTGCTTTCTTTGCAGTGCAAGAAACGTAGCAAACCCCCAAAAACCACAGTTATGCACATTTTTGTCGTCCACTAACTAACTAAACGCAAAAACTAGTATTACCCATGAACCCAAAAACTGGTCCCTGCATGGAAACGCTCTTTGCCGACCTATGCCTCTCTCTCTCACACACATGTAAAACGTCACCCTGTTGCTTTCCCCACACTTTTGCTTGGTTTCCCCCTTAAGAAAGAAAGCGAGACTCCGAAGAAGAAAAAAAATCAGGCAAAAGTTGCTTTCACTCCGTAACGTGATTCTTCTTCACTCTTTTCTTCACCTCGACCACAAAGGAAAACAGAGCCCCATTTTGTATAAGAGAAGAAGAAGTTGATAAAATGATATGTATCGTATGTACATAGTGACCAGAAATAAATGGAGAAAAGTGTTTTATGTCATTTCCTCTCCGAAATAAGTAAGCTTATTGTAAGGAAAAGTTTTGATTCAGTTTCACTTTTTCTCCTACTTTTGTGAAGCGTCCGTTTCAATGGGAAACCTTAAATCAAACTTTGATTGGAGGAGTCAGTCTGTTTTTATTCTGAGAAGCATTTTCCCCGCATAGAATTCCATTCTTCTTGGAAAATTGTATTGTATTGGAGAAATAAGCTCTGGGTTAAAATGTTTGTTAAAAAGTTTTTTGAACTTGGAAAAGCTGAAGAGTTTTTCGTTTCTTGGATTTGGTTTGATAAATACATTTCTTGCGCTGGAAAGTAAGTACGAAGCGCAAGAAATGCGAGGTGCACGAAAGTGGTAAATAGAAATATGGGCCATCTAGCCACGCGCAATATGAAGTATTTATCCCGGCGGGGCGTAGTTTCTTGCGCCGTGCATTTCTCCCAGGTCAAAATATTCACCTGCAAGAAACCATACCTGTTCGAAAATTTAGAATTCATTCAAAAGTCAGTAATCCCAATTTCTGACGGAAGGTTTTCATTCACATTCAGTCATTTTCGTTTAAACTCATTTCATTTTACTTCATCAGACTTCATTTCTTACTTCTCTTCATGTAAATATTAAGCGTGGGGTGTCAAATGAAAATGAAAGGAGTGAAAAATCCTTTCATTCACAGTCATTCATCTGAAATGACGGAATCCTTCAGTTATTTTCACTCAGGATTTAATTTTCATTCACTATCATTCACCATCATAATCAATCAAATGAATGAAAGTGAACATGTATGCAAGAAACCACTTTCTCCCTGTTATTTCTTGCAAGTATTTAGCTATCTAGTTGCATCCGAAATATTGAAATTGAAGTTTTTATGGTGAGTTTTGTGCCGAAAAGAAAATATAAAAGGGGCATTGAATCGAAGTTGTTACGTGATAAATACATGGTCATGATAAGAACTTAACTTACGCCATACGTTGTCCACGGCTGGATTGAGTTTGTCGTGTCCCCAGATTTTGAGGGGTCACTGATAAATAGCTGGGTGTAACTACAAACTAGGGCATCCAGAATCGGAAAATTTTTAAAAACCGGTTTTCGATTTTTCCGATTTTGGAAAACTTTCGTAAAACCGGTTTTCGATTTTTCCGGTTTTTTTAATTTTCGTAAAACCGGTTTTCGATTTTCTACAAAACCGGTTTTAAACCGGTTTTCAAACCGGTTTTCTACAAAATTTTAAAAATATGTTAAATAAAATGTGGTAAAATTTAAAGTTAAACAAACTTTGGGCATTAATTTGGGAAAAAATATTTCAGAACAATTTATTTTTCCATGAAAAACAAGAAATGACTAATATTTTGTAGTTCTAAAACATTTTTTATTAAAAATCGAAAACCGGTTTTCGAGTGTGATAAAACCGGTTTTCTACAAAACCGTTTTTTTTTGAAAATTATAAAACCGGTTTTCGGGTAAATCGAAAACCGGTTTTTAACCGGTTTTACAAAATCGGAAAAACCGGTTTTGGATGCCCTACTACAAACCCTGGTTCCAGATTTTTATCAGATTGTTGTTTCTAAAAAAAAGAATAATTCCTAAAAATTATACACGTCTACAACAAGCTTACATACCTCAGGGTAAAAAATAACCTCGTTTCAGTCACACAGACCATTTATTGGGAAGATCCTGGACGTATTTGGGTTAGATTTTGGGATGTAAATTGAAGTAGGTGAACTTGGACTTTTTTCTAAAAGAGGAGCCATTTATGTGTGCTGAAGCATCAAATAAGACTGGAAAAGTGGGTTGGATTATGTACGGGTTGCGTAAGTAGGATAAGTGCATACCTTGAAGCGGAGAAGTGAGTGAGTGAGTGACATCCGGACAGATACACAAGCCTGCTTTCTCCCCCAGAGTGGATTGGATTGGAACAAAGATTGAGATTCCGTAAAGATTTCCTGGTTCGGTTAGAAAGTTGAGGTGACGATAAAAGGTGCACGTCTAACTAAAGTGAGGAGTGGGTTGGGATTGGGAAGGCAGCAAGTTAGATGAGATGTCAAGTATTGTATGGATACTTATCTTGAGCAGTGTTTCGTTTTGTCTAAAAGATTTCAAAAGCGTGTAAAAAAATTCTTGATGTTGAAAATGTCCAAAATTGTCAAAAATAATTTTGTATGTCCAAAATGTCCAAAAGCGTGTTTTCTTGAGAAATTAATAAGAGATAACATAAATACGTCAACGGATTATCGAAGTATCCAATAAAGAAAGACTTGTAACATGCTCCCCCATTTTCTATTTTGGACACTTTTGGACACCTTTAGACGTCCAAAATTGCGATGCCCAAATCTGGTTAAAACCATACATGTTCACATTCATTCATTTAATGATGAATGAATAAATTATTCATGCAATATTCAAAATTTTGAATGAATATTGAATGAATATTTTATTCTGATTTTTGAATAAATGAATATTTAGTGAATATCTATTCAGTTCGTGTGAATGAATAAGGAATGAATATTTTTTTCATCATTCATTTCTAGCTCAATGCTTAATACATAGGGAAAGTTGAGAAATTTATTTAATATTGTTAATTTTGAATAACATGAATAATGAAGGAATGGTGAATAATGAATAAATGTTTTAATAATTGGTGAATATTTTTTTTACAAATTATGAATGAGTGAATAAGGAATGAATATTTTTTTCGAGGCTTTGAATGAATGAACTTTGAGTGAATAAATATTTTCTGAACATGTATGGTTAAAACTAGTCAAAAACGATTTTGGGCACGGCGAAACCCTGATCTTGCGATAGAGAAATCTTGATGTCAAATGTGTCCCTCGAGGCTACATAAGCATGGATCGAGTAGTCATTTCAGGTAAAAGTTGAGCCCCATCGAACAATTTTGTGCAATCAGGAAGCAACAGGGTTGAGCAAAGTTATTACGTAATTACAGGCTCGAATGGAGAAATTCCTCATTTTTCTTTGTTCTCTTGATGACCAACATTTCCCTTCTTTTGCAGATTTGCCAAAATGATTGCCGGGACAAACACCACGACGACGACCACCACCTCCGCGCCCTACAGTTTGGCCGGATCTTTCCCTCACTACAAACAAATCGTGATGCCGGCCGATCAAAGGGAAAAGATTTTAGCGATGCATGAAGCCAGCCGGGCAAATGCGGGTACATATGCAAAATTGGGCTTACAATGGAGGTCTCCCAACGTATGGTCACAAATTTAATTAGTATGACATTTGCAAATGGTACTATCTATCTCCCAATGCGCAAGTTTGGCGGAGATATTTGCATAAAAAGTAGATAAAATGCGCCCCAAGGTCGACAAATTTTACAGTTTCTAAATTTACTCTCCTATTTTTATGCAAATATCTCCGCTAAACTTGCACATTTGCAAATTTCATACTAATTAAATTTGTGATCGATTGACACCAGTTTGCTCCAAATCTGTGAGGATACGTTGCGAGACCTCAATTGTTTAGTATTTATGAAGTTGTCCACTTCATCACCATATTTTTCCAGGGATTTATGTCGCCGTCGTGCTGGCCATGTACGTCATTCTCTTGACGATGCTACTCTGTCGCTACAGGCGACGTTTCCCTCTCCCCTCATCGTCCGGTGAGGCGTATTCGGCCAGTGGGCGACATCACCACCATCATCACCACCACCACCACAACAGCTCGGGGGCACCAGCGTTGTCGTCCTCGAGCACGACGTTATCACCGCTGTGGAAACTGCGATTTCTCTGTGATTGCTCGTCGACTGGGGATGATGGAAATGTGGACGATTCTCCGGAAGAGGTTGGCGACGTGAGGATGACCACCATGGCGATGACGCTTATTCCTCGGGCACCCACAGCAACGACCGTGGTGGTGGCGCGCCCTGTCCCACCGACGGTTTGTATTACGCTGGCGACATCGGAGGGTGCGGGGTCGGAGGTGGGGGTGGCGGTTTAAGCAGGATAGGAGATTTGAGTGGCTGTGGAAGGTGTGTGGACATAGGGCCAATGTCCCCACGGTTGTTAGATGTCCCCATCATATGCCCATGTTACATAAACCCATCCCTCCCTTATCCTACAACATTGATGTCCCCACGGGTTTCGCGGCCACTGATACGGAGAAGTATAGTTTTTCTATGTTGGAGAGAGGATCGTGCTCGTCTATGCGACTAAAATATTTTCAGTAATATTACATAAATTGAGTAGTGAAAGTACATACATATTTTGTGTAAATAAGTTGGAAGATGGATCAATAATAAAATATGTAAGTAGTGTCAACACATATTCATAGTTGAATTGCAGGGTCACATATTATACATAAATAGCGTCAGAATCTATGAAAATAAATATGTATATGTAAATATAAATATGTAAATCTATCGGTATTATGTACGTACTTACGTCATTCGTACGTCGGAACCTGCAAACTTTCAGGAGTTTTACTGGAACAAGTATGTATGTCTTTATTGCATAAAGAATTTTCTACGAAAGGTAAAAATTGCCTCTAATTCTTTGCGAAATCTTAACTCCTGCGTTTTATGTTACATTTCATCACAGTAACAAAACACGATGTAATTTATGTAACCGATTTACAGCATTGTAAACAAACATGATATAGTATTTTGAACTGTTTCATAATAAATTATCTTTAAAGCTAACAATAAATATTACTTGTGGTCTTCCTAAAGCCGATCCCTACACATAAGTTGATTAACTAAAAATCCACATAGACCATTTTCTGCTGGGTAGAAGTCCCTTCGGCGTTTCCAGCAGGCCACATTTACAATTTCCATCTATACACATGAAACAAGAAAACAATGAGTTAGTAAATTTGGATTTAGCAACTAGTTTGCAAATTTATGTCGTAAAGTTAAATACATTTCCAACGGCAGGAGGTGGGATTTCGCCATCGTCCTCACTGGTATGTTGGCCTGCTCCACCTTCAGCCATAGACACAACGTGGACAGAAAGTCGTCTCTTCTTGTCGGCGCTGAGGGCCATCGTCTCCTGTTTTTTTAAATATATAATTATTTAAGTAATGACAGATTTATTACTATCCGATTAAAGAAATGATTAATATTATAGTACCTCGAAAAAGTTTTTGATGTCGGATAGCGTGACAGTCTCTAATTCGCTAAGCTCTAGCTGTTGCTTTTCAAAGTTATACTGTTGTGCTGTGATCTCAGACCAAATGAGGTTAGCTCGGTCTATCAACTTTATAGGTTTTTCTGATTTACGCACGTATAGTGCTGCTCGATGTTGAACGAATTCTGTTACTGTCATTGTTTTCAACATTTCCTGCGAGGAAGGAAATTTAGGAAAAACATTGAGTCATAATTTGGACAGGAATTAAAAAGAATGATCAATATTTTAGATTTGTATATACTTGACAATGTTTAAGGAAGTTGTCGATACGATACTCTACATATTCTGGATGACGATCACTCTGAATCAGAATCTGGATGCCTTGCGTTCCATGTGCACGACGGACGAAAATTTTGGCCTCATAGCCCTCTTTAACTAGTTGGTTAAAGCCGGGTTGATTCACGATGTGCATTAATAGTTCGACGACCACATTTTCATGTGTGCCTTGCAGTCCGGTTTGAAATAGGACTGGTGGAAATTATAAATTAAAATACATTATTACTTATGATAATCAGTATCAACAAATTTCATGGTAACCCAAACCTGCAGCACATGAATTCAGATGCGTCATGTGTTCAGAAATAAAAATGAAGTCCGAACCTGGAAAGAAATGATGAGTAAGTAATCGGCTAGCTTAAAATTAAGCCAAAATAAAGTATTTACCAGGTGGAAGCTCAATCTCTCGAAGTCGAGATGTTTGTGACGCAATGAGTGAATGAGTTCCTTTCTTTTCGAACAAATCTACGCAATAATTCAGTGTTTAAGGCTTCCTACAAAGAGAAAATGTCATCAAATTATTATTATAGTACCGACATCAATAAAACCGTTTAAAATTATTAGTTAATAATAGCTCAGAGCTGAAAACTTACTTCCGAGGTACAATTTCCATGAATCAGCCACTCAATTTTCACTTTGGAAATAAAATTCTTTGCAAAGCTTTTCAGCTTTTCAGCCGTCACATCTAGTTTAAGAGCGAAAGTGAGATTGGGATGAAATTTTAATGAAATGACAAGTTTTAAGGGAAAAATTACCATCCATAGCGCTTAGCAAGTCTTCGTTGGACCATGCTTTTTCACACAGAAGATGCGTGAAGTAGTACGAAGCGTGAGAATAGGGCTGCTCATCTTCCCAACTTTTAAGGGATCTTATATAAAAGTCTTTCAATACTTCAAATCGTTTTGGATCAACTTCTAAATCAACAAGTCTCTCGAAAATTTTTTCGATAAGAAGTCCAATCTTGTGATCATAGCCATTAATAGCGATCTACAAAAAAATATATACTTTGTGAGTTCGATAGAAATGTTGAAAATCAAATTAAAACAGCAATTGCATAATTATTCACGAACCTCCAGCCCATACACTGAATCTGCAATAACGTAATGAAGACCAGCAACACTCGCAGCATAAGAATACTCTGTTAGTAAATCCTTAATCAAAGCAACCAGCATGTGATTCAGATTTGCATTCAACGGTTCGATTAGGGGAAGTGGGCTAAAAAATACACAGAAATATTTTAAATAATTTGCCGTAAAATCTTAACAGTCATCGTCGTAAAATACAAACCTAAAGATCTCTGCTCGAACGACCGCTTTTGGTACCAAAAACTCATTATCTTGTAAGAACCACACTCGAGATAGCGGAGTGTTCTGAATTATCTTAGGAATGATCCCCTTCTATTTTCGTATGAAAATAATATTATGAATTGAGTAGTCCATTTTAAAATTTTGTTATGTAATTCCTATTAAAATGTGACGTACTGTTCTTGATTCACTGAACTGCTCCTCTCTCTTCTTCAGATCAAATACAGACGGAATAAATTCGTTTTTGGATGGCATCTTCAGCCTGTCGTTACGCCCACAGTTCCTCCATTTCTATAATGAAAAAAGAGCATCATTGCCATGAAGTGTGGTCAAATGTAATTTAACACCTGTTAGTTTACCTGAATTGTCTCTGGTTCAATTTTATCGTAGTTATATTTGACACCATACCAAGCTTCATGGTATATAGGATTATCCTCAAATTCTTTCGAGACTACTATCACCCTACATAAAATATGCAAGTTATCATTACATCGTTATTTTGGTATCTTTTCAATCTAATGAATAAATTCAAATCATTAATCAGACGAACCGAACATTCTCCGGCGTCAATGCGTCCAATATTTCCTTAATCAAGCTTGGCTTGTATTCCGTTAATATGTATCCAGCACTTAAAACATCTTCCAAAGGATAGCTCTGCAACAGAATGTATATATAAATTGTACATTTAACAATTGTATACATATATAAATGTTTTTTAATTTTATTTAAATGAATTTTGCTCCTACGTGCATAATACTACTCAATCTAGAGACGAGAGATTGTGGACGTTCCTTCTCCTTAAATCGAAACAACATTGCGCTAACATCTTTCATTTCCTCCCACACCCAAAGCTGTGGTCCATGTTCTTGTAACATTTGCAAGTACTGCCGAAATTATACAGTATTAATACGTTTTAATTAAAACACATTTTATGAGTTGCTGTATGTTTAGTGTATGAAAACCTGACCAACCTGAAAAACGGACTCTACAATGTTATCAGTATTCTGAAGTCCTTCATCAGTCAAATCTACAGCGATTTTAAAAATTCCAAATCCTCTCGCAGGCACGTGAGAACCAGCTTCCAGATGGTTGACCCAGTTCTTTTCCTTCAACAAGGACATCAAACTTCCTCGCCCTTCATGCCTTATAAGATGGGACAGGTATCCTTCCGCCTGATTAAATTAAGAGGAACCATTGAAATATTTACCTAACATGCACGTAAAACCACATCAATATCACTCACCGACGCTTTATAATGTGGGGTCGTATCCGGAGTCGGAAAAATGAGATGGAGCTGTCGAACCTCCTTAACAGGAACAACTTGAAGATAAACCTGCAGTTGATCGGCCCCATAGGGACTCTCTTTCCAGAAGGGAGCTTCAACATCCCTGTTATCAACTTCGAGAAAACGGTCTTCAACTAAGCGTTGCAATTCGTCCAAAGTTTCAGATCCAAGGACAACCAAACTCATCAGATTTGCGGAGTAGTACGTTTTATGAAAATCCATCAGGGCGGAGCGAACGTCAATCTCCATGTCGCGTGGTCTGGTCCATAACGTCCACCGGGTACCTTTAATGTATTAAATATAAAATTCATGATACTCTTTACAGCACAAATCGGATTGGTATGACCAATTACAAGTACCAGTTTCAAGGAATGAGTAAGGGTGACGCAGGGTCGTTGTCCCCGTCTCAACGCGATCTAGTCTCCAATGATCACAGCATGATAACCCCATAAATTCCGAATCTATCTGGTCTACTACACGTTCCATCGCAGATTCCGTGAAGAGAGGAGTGACGAAAAATTGTGCGAATCTAAAGAACCAAAAACAGTATGAAAATCTCAAAATATTAAATTCTCAAAGCCTACAAGTTTTAAAATACACACCTATCCAACGCTCCCGGTAGAGAATGTGGTGACACATGAAAGTAGTAATTAGTATGATCTCTTGCCGTGTATGCATTCGAAGCACCGCCATTCTCCGCCAGAAATCCGGCGTAATCCTCCTCCTCCGGGTATTTTTCGGTCCCGAGAACTATCATCCTCTCACAGAGATGAGCAAGTCCAGGCAGACGGGCAGGGTCGCTCATACTTCCTGCAAAACCAAAAAATTTTCCTCATTATTTTACCCTTGATAGTTATCATCAAATATATATGAGCTAACTCACCGGCAGCAACAGACAAGCTGACTGCGGCCTTATCGGTGAGCGAGTCACTGATGAGAATAACCCTCATCTTATTGTCCAGAGTGAGCCCTCTATACTCCCTCTTATCCAAGGGGGACTTGATGATGGGAGGGGACTCTACACTCTCACCCAGCATGTCGGCTGCTGGCCTTTTCACACCTCCTCGAAAAGGACGACTCATTTGCTGTCCCATGGCTATCGCTGATAAGACACGGAAGATAAAGCAACTACGGATATACAAAGATGTTAATTTTTTAGCTTATATTTGCAAGTTAATTGATTAATTAATTAATTATAATTGAGCTGCAAAATTGCGACTGTCTTCTCCAAAAAAAGTGTAGAATGGGACGACACAACCCGTCGCTGGTTGGCTGGCAGGGCAGCCGAGGGCCGATGACCTCTGCGGAGATTTTCTCCTCTTCGTCTGTGTAAGTGACCGACCATGACGGCATCTGGAGTTAAAATTTTGAAATTCTGGTAAAATGGAGATTTTTAAAATTTCCATTTTTTTTAATTATGCAAATTGGAAACATTAAGAAAAATGATGTGTATGATTTTTTGTATGAATTTGTCCCTCAATTTGATGAATTTATGGGGTTTTTGACTCTCTCCAGAGGGGAACAGTTGGTTAATTATCGATGTTTTTAATTATGCAAATTGACAATTAAGAAAAATGCTAGATTTTAAATTTTGCATGATTTTTCTGTAGGTTTTTCTTTCAAGTTAATGAATGATGGATAAATTTACGGGGTTTTTTGACTTTCCAACCACCGCGAGCGGTTAGTGAGCAGTTGGTCGGTTAATTAATTGAGGTTCGTGTTGTGTTCTTTGTTTCGCATTAATTTCGTTTTAGTTTTTATTGCGACTTAAAAGCCTAGTTATCTCGTCAATTTGATAAGTAAAAGATTGTTGGTAGTAAGTCAGTTATTAAATTGGGGGTTAATGCGGTTTGGGATTTTTTGCAGGGTTAATTTTTTGCTAGAATTCTAACTGCGCAGTTTATGTCCTTGGAGGGAAATGGCGGTGCAGGGGTCTTCTTCTTGTTCTGGGGGCGAGGGTTGGTCCGAAGGGGAAGATGACGTGTTTTATGGGCAGAATGGGACGGCAAGTTCGAACGTTAATGGGACAGGGAATAATTATAAATTTCTAGGTCGACCTTGCGGCATAACAACGTTTGGCGAAGAGTAAGTGTCAAGTGGCATATTAATTTACTAGTTAACTTTGTTGGTCATTAATTTTTACCTTTTCTTTTAGAGTTGTCGAGCATGACGTGACAATTCGGATGTTGGCGAAGGACCTTGAGAAGACTAGAGCACAGATTGTCGAGCATTTAATGGATAACAATCCCCCCGGCACGGACTATTTGGCCAAGCGATTTGTCGTGGCTCATTTCAACTTTTATTGTGCTGACAGCGCTACAAATCCGAAGTATGTGATTCCATCGGAAGTTGCTTTTCGAGCGTTTTCTTTGCATGAGGGACTGATCTCGATCGACAAATGTGTCAAGACGGCTGGTCTGATTGATACAGGTGGGAATGTGGTGGCAGTAATATTTAGTTCGCCAAGTGTTACATAATATTTAAATGTGTTCATCTAATGTAGGAATTGTCCCGATTGGAATGCGTGCTGAAGCGATGCAGACAGCCAAGTTGTGCAGTATTCCGATGCTTGGAGAAGGCTTGATTGCCGTAAGTATTTGATTTTAAAACTGTTTCACTGGATAACCTGCTACTTTTCACAATTTCACTTTATTGATTTCTTCAATTGTAGAAAAAAACAGTGCCAGAGTTGGCGGATTGTGAAATATGGAATGCCAAGGAGGCACTAGAAAATGTGCGAGCAATTGTTGAGAAGGTAACTTTCATTATTTCTCAGGGATGTTCAAAATGTTTTGTCAAAATACAGTATTTTGAGTTCAGTTCTTCTCAAGGTTTGGATTTCCATGGCTGTTGCAGATAATAATCTAAACGGAGAAGGCAGCAGTCATAGGAAAATACAGGTTTTGTGAAGAAGATAACTTTTTATCGGTGTCAAAATACATTGGTTTTACGATTTTTAAAAGATAACGTATTTTGACAACGATGAAAAGGTAATTTCTTCACAAAACATGTATTTGTATTTTCCTATGATTGCTGCCTTCTCCATTTAGATTCTCGTCTTTTTTTGGATGTTTTAGCCCTGGAAGTCGAAGTGACGAAAAGCGCTCAAAATATTGTCTTTTGACACAGTATTTTGACCATCCCTCAGGGATGGTCCCTGCCATTATTTTCTTATATTATCTTTAAAAATTGTGGTAAATTTGGTTACTAAAATAATTCCAGTATGCTCCAATGATTGATGGGAAAAGGTGGCTTTTTGTCACTAGAAAACACATGGCGGTGGCGGATCGTTGTCTTAAGTATTTAAAGGTTCACGAAGAGGCCAAAGCTCCAGCGGATGGTATGTTCACAACAACGTTAAATATATATTTATTTTATCGCTCGAGTAGTTTAGTACTTATTTTCTCTAATTTAACCTCAATACAGACGATTACAGGATAAAACTTGCCCCACTGAGCTTGCTGATGCTGGAGTTAAAAAAACTGTGCATCCACGTCACTCCCCACATTCCAAACGTTACCAGTGAGGGTCAAATAGAACGAATCATTGAGCATCCACAGTTTGATTATTGTGCCGAATTAGGGTGCCAATGGCATTCTAAGGTAAAAACATATGTCTACATTACTTATGAAAAGTTAATATGTGGGTTTTTTTGGAAAACTGGGGGAACAAAATCTCGGGAAATTCCCTAGAAAAGGGTCGCCCCCTGCTTTCCCCCAAGCGTTAATACGATTCAATTATTTCCTCTTTTAATTTTAATTAATTTTTAAATTTTAATATATATTTTCTCTTTTAATTAATTTAAATTGCAGTGCGAGAACGTCGAGGCTGTCGACCGATGCACAAACAATATCGTAAAACGCATGATCTACAACTTTATGGGGTACGTCCGAAAGACTCAAGGACTCGTCGTCTACCATCCATTCTTCAAACCGTATCTGATGCAAGTGGACGTCGTCGATCACAAAGCCGTCGCCGAGCTGAAGAAAGGTATCGAGCGCGACATGCAGTTAGCATCGCGAAGAAGGAATGATTTGAATGGAGAAGAAGAACCAAAGTGGGAGCCGCGAGGACGAAGAGGTGAAAGGAATGATATGAATGGAGATGTTAAGTGGGATCCACGAGGACGAGGAAGAGGACTGCGATAACTATTACTTATCACGAATGGAAATAATTTGACTTTGACAAATAACTTGACCCACCTAAATTAGTGTTAATTATTTTATGGTTACCCATTTTTAGAAAACGTAGACATTAGTTTTAAGCACGTAGAATAATGTTTTGACTCAGGAGAAGTTGTGAAGGTGACGAAGTACCTGATTTTATGCTGTTTGGATATTTTGTTGTATTCGGTGAGTGTACGAAAAGTTAAGTTTTATTGCATGGTTCCATCCCATTTGCGCTCACCGCACCGTACCTCTTAAAGTTATTATAAGTACTAAACCCCTGTACAAAAAACCTGATTTTATTCCGATCTTGATAATTTTCAGATTTTCCTGAGTTGTGTTATCATATTCCACAACTTACAATTAGTGAAACTCAATTTATAAAAATTAGTATTTCTGAAATTTCCTGATCTCGTATGACTTCGAAAAAAATCAAACTTTCAAAAAAGTATAAACACCTTTTAAAAAAAACTTTTGATATTCGACATCATAAAGCAACTATCTACGATGAAGTAAATACAAAAAATTTTCAAAATTGAATTTTTAGTGATGGTTTGAACGAGGACAACAGGGATTTTTTCTGTTTTGAGGGACTTCTAACCATGATACCATAATTTTTAAAAAATTCTAGGACGACATACATGATTGAGGAAAGTAAATCTTTTTATTTTCGATATTCGTGTCATCAATACTTGAAATTAAAAAATGAAAAAAAAATCAAAATTTTCGCTCAAGAGAATTACAGTAAACTCTTGTAACGTCAGAAGTATCTCGCCCTGTAATAATAACTTTGTACCAAAGGTGGAGAATAAGCGGACAAAATAGATACATAACTTAAATATAAGTTTCCACCAATGGTGGAAAATAAGCGTGGAAAATAGATACATAACTCCATTGGTTTTCATGGGCTCAGCACCCATGAAAACGAATTATATAGTTCTTTCTTCGAGTCTTATTAATGTTTGTTTAATGCCATCATTAGAGTTGACCAGTTGTTTTCCAGTGTCCTGATCTATGATATCAGGATATTTTCTGACAAATAGACTTTAGAGCGAGTGTGGCGAGCTTAAATGGGAGGACATCTCCTGTTACTACAACATATCCAAAAAGCATCAAAATCAGGTATCACAACCTATTCTACTGCCTGTAAACGAAAACGACCAATTTTATATGACCACCTACTTATAATCTAATTTTTCATTTTGTTTTCCCCATTTTTGTTTCTAATTATGATAAAAATACTAAACGACTTCATTTGCATAAATGATGAACTTATACTTGTTATGCCATCAAATTTAAAAATAGTAAAGCTTGACTTTTTACTGCACTTAAATATCAATCAATCCATCAAAAAACAGCGTTCATTACTTCATTCTCATCCCATAAAAATATGTACGTGCAAGTAAATCATACGCATGCATGAATAAATATCGGATTTTCCCAACTGCACTTTTGCCAAGAATTTAAAGCACTCTAAAACAGCGAGAAAATAAACACGACACGGTAAAAAAACAGACACCAACAACTTTCGTACATATCTATCTACCTACTTATTTTATTTTTGGAACCACCAAGCCACCAACCATCAACTAAAACCCATTACCGTTCTGTTGTGTCATTGGATGGAGATGGAGATGTTTTGCATTATGGGCTTTGTGTATGTACGAGATGTACTTTGCCCTACGCAAAACTAATGCCGATGGACTCCTGAACATTTAATGAGAACGAGAGAGATTCATTCAAATGGCTCCGAAAATATTTGACGGGTAGAAAAAGAGAAGCTTTTCGATCAATTTATCACCGTTTCATTTCTCTAAAAGTTGATCTCGAGCCTGCTGTTTCATTTCATTTCGTACACCATTTTTACGAGGAGGAACTGTGATTTTGCAGTAATTCATGCAAATTCCGTGGTAATTTGCATGAATCTAATAATTTGCTGTTAGGCGCAAGTGGTGCACGTGGTGGTGGTGGGTGGGGGGTGTGAATTAGTTGGTGCGTGACGTGACCAGAGGACGATAACTTATCGTCGATAAGTACTCAGCCATGGAAGAGGACAATAAAAGTGTGACCACGAACGGAAGTGGAGCCGGTGAACGACCAACGACGCCAAGTACGCCAAGTATTCACATTTTCAACAAAATCACGCAAAGCGATGATGGTAATTGCTTCGTAATCGTAGCGCAGTAAACACAAATATTTAGAATAATTCTCATTATTTTGTACGTGTTTCTGCTTTTTGTGCTAAAATTATATGCACTTTTAATTAAATTGCTTAATGTCGTTGATTAATAAATTGTGTATTAAATTCTCTGCGAATTAAATTTACAACTATAAGCACGATTATGAGAAATTAATGAAAATATTAATAACCAGATTAAAATGCAGGTTCATTTTCGGTATGAAATAAATTAACAAAATTTTGCTGAAATGAAAAATGCGTAATAATGAAATTGAATGTTTTTGAGTGCGGATAATGTTGCCTTGTTGCATTGCAAATTAAGTGAAGTATGCAATAAAAATTAGAACTAGCTCAAATTGTTCTTAATCATAATTTTAAAAAATCTGAATTTAGAATGGTGGCGACCTTCACATCCTCCCGAGACGTACAAATGGGAAGAGGTGCGACGCCAAAGGAAGAAGGGTGGCTACCCCTGGACACTCCTCGACAATGAGAACGACAACGATGAAATCGATGCCAACGAATTTCTTGAGTGAGTTTCAAATTGACAAAACTTTCGCTTCTAATAGTGCGTAAGGTTAAACACATTAATTTGGGGTTCATGGTCGAATTGCAAACTTTGCGCATGTAAATATGCTCTTTAAATGTTCCTAAAACTTATTTTCCAGTATTTATTTCGAAGTTGTCAAATATTTTTTGTAGATGTGTCACCCATTACGAAGAAATGAGTAAAAATAATACATACATTTTGTCCATATTTTGACAAGTTTTTTTAAAGGAAATGATTTTGTTAACAAAATTGGAGAACTAATATAGAAAACATTCATATTACGTAGTTAGCAAAGCTATAATACCTTTACAAATTTCCGTAACTCTTCTTGTCTCTCGAGTTTAGTCAAAATTTACAGATTATCATCTTGCAATTATTCTGGGGTGTCTTCTGAACATTTTTGCATATTATTTTGTACATAATTTAAAATTTGGAAAACTTAACTTTGACAACTGCCTAATTGTACGTCTTTTTTAGTAAGCACGTCGTAAATATTTTGACATTTTTCCCCAAATAGACACATTTTTTTGCCTGATTTTTCATAACTACTACTCATCCCCCATGTTTATTATCCATTTCCTAAATAAATAGATACCTACGCCCCACACATTATGCAAGATGCAGACTAAAAGTCAAGTCAACAAAGAGCACGGCAAAGGAAAAAATATATGTAAATACATATGCATGTACACGTCGCCTTGTAAATAATATGCACATACATACATCCACCACGAACACGACCAGAACGTTGTGCTAGGCAAGGAACCCATCCGTTCTGTCGACAACTTATCGAATTGAACAACAAGTGTAAAAATAGACGCGTGGAGGAGAACAAGAAAGACGTGTTGACCTGGTTCTCCAATCACTGCTGCTGCTGGCACAGATAAAATAAGACGAGTCACTCACAACGTTACGCCCGACCAGGAAGGAATATATGTAGTTATCTATATACTTGTACTTACTCATCATCCTCGTCGTTGTCGTCATTTACATACTATACTTTCGACATTCATTCTTCTTCTCTTGCCTGCTTCCGTCCATGTACGAGTATTTTTAACATCAAGACGTCCCAGTTTTCAAACTAATCACTCACATCACATCACATCCTAAATATATTGGCAAACTGGGCATGAAATTTCAAATGGCTGAATGTTTCCATTGGTACAATTAGTAATAAATAAATGACAAGTGACAAGTGTCACATCACTTCGTCCTTCGTCTTGACCATTTTGCTTGAAAATGGAATCTCATCACTGTCGAAACGAGGTCAAATCTGAAGGGGGAATCAATCCTGAGATTATTTTGTAGATGGGCATCCATCCAGAAGGATTAGGACATTATGGGGACAAACATTACGAGATAGGGGAGCAATTCTGTGGGGACATTGTCATCCCCACCAGTGACCGCGGAAGCTATGAGGACATCTTGGGACGTTAACATTGTAGGATAGGGGGAGGTCCGCGTTTATACAAGATTGGCAAATGATGCCGACATCAAACAACCTTGGGGACATTGTCCCTCTGTCCCCTCACCCTTCCGCGGCCACTGGTCCCCACTGTTCGATAGCTATATACATACATAAACCCATATCCATATCTCGTCCCCGAATCGGATATACAGTTTTTTCGACCCATGCCAACTTTCCGTTAAGCAAGGATTTTTCCACTCCGAATTTTCGGGGTTTTGCTAGTTGGCTTGCACCACATCCTCGTCACCATCGTCCCGATTTCTTCTAGTCAGCTTCTTGTTGCACACCGCCCTCAACGGCGGCGACGACGACCCTGTTCCCCCTGTTTCAGAGGAATGGGTTTCTTATTCCTGCCCGATGGACGACGACAGAGGTAAACGTGCAGCCACGGGGAAAAGTGTTGCGGTCTTTTGTGGGTGTCAAACCTATCCTTCCGCGTCCTCCAGTGGTTCCAAGTCCGCCTGGGAATGGGGCATTGCCACGCCTAGGCAGAAATCTAAACAAGTTTCGAAATCTAATCCCGTTTTCCCATCGACTAAGTTGCAAGACATGTCGGCAATTAATAAGAGATTCAGGTGCGTGTTTGTTCAGGGGGAAAGAATAAGACGAGGTTTTTTAAGGGTGTCAGCATTATATATGTGACGAGTAGATTATAATTAGAGGGAGACAATCAGTGACGGCGGAAGTTGGGGACATCAGCATTGTGGGATTATTGGAATGGAATTCCTAGTTATCCATCATGAAATTGAGGCCAATGTTATCTTACTGTGTTAATGAGGATTAACATGGGAAGATACAACTTTACTGAATTTCTGAGGGACAATGTCCCCCTGTTCTCCTGCTTCCGCCGCCATTAAGGACAATGACGGAGGTTTCCCAGCGGATACGATCAGATTTTGAGCAAATTGGTGTGAAATTTGCGAAAGACAAGATCTCCCAATGGGCACGTTTGGCAGAGATATTTGCATTCCAAGAGGAAGAAACGCGCAGTAAATTTGGAAAGTGTAAAATTTGTCGACTTTAGGGTGCGCTTTTTCTCCTCTTCAGATGCAAATATTTCGGTCAAACGTGCCCATTGGGAGATCGCGTCTTTCAAATTGCATATTTATTAAATTTGCGATCGATTGGCACTTGTTTGTTAAAAATCTGAGAGCATACGCTGGGAGACCTCCACTGTGATGAGTGTATAATAAAGGACAATATTTGATTCCTCTTTTCCTCCCGATTTCCTAGTGACAACTTGTACGAGCCAGTCAACCCACCACCACTGCACGACACGGGAAGCGCAGTTTTCTACGGGAAAGACACCACGGACACGGGGTCGCTCGATGGGCGCCGTCGGATCGATATTCCGCCTGAAATTGAGGTGCACATTAATTAACTAACTAACCAGTGTTTCAATTAATCACTTGTAAGAAATAGCAGAAAGAAATGGTTTCTTATACCTATTTTTCACCTTGCAAGAAATGCAATGCGCAAGAAATTGTGTACTTCCCCACGCCATAATTCATACTCTGCGTGGCTCATTGGCGCACATTTCGTGCACTTTCTTGCACCTCCCATTTCTTGCGTTGCTTGCTTAAAAATCCTAATGAAAACCAAAATTATACGAATATAAATCATACGAAATTGTTGCCTTGCATAATTTGCAATTAGACAAATTCCCTTGATGCGATATGCAAAATAAATTATGCAAATTACCCAGAGGCCTTTCTTACCTTGGTTGTTTCGCACTGCAAGAAATGTAGCAAACGAAATACATAATTAAGTATTACGAAGTATTCATTACTAAAAAATTAAAAATGCTATAATTACTCCGTTAATTTTCTTTCCAGATCGTCAACTCCGAAGGTCTCGATGGCCTGGACCAACCCGACCCGCACGACTATGGCATGGACGGCGACCGCGAATGGGTCCACTCTGACGACGAACAGGTCGTCCCCTCCTCAAAAATCTGCTTCACCGCCGGCATCCGTGGCGGGGATGACAAAGCCACCAACAAAACCATAAGTTTCGACCCCGCCACGAAAAATGGAAGCTATGACGAAGACCTCGAAGACGAAGGGATGCTCGACATCCCGCAAGAAGTCCCGTCCGGCTCCCGATCGGGGCGAAGTCGGTCCCGCTCCCGAAGTCCGAATCCAACCGGACCCCCGAAAAAGACCACGACTGCCTTCGAAATCCTGAAGAACAAAGCGGCCGACGCGGCCGGCCAGGTTAAACAGCGCTTCAACAAGATCGCGCTCCCCACGCGACCCAAACTCAGTCAAGGAGAAGGCTTCAAGCTCGCGCGGGGTAAAAAGAACGGGAAAAAAGGGAAGCATCCTCCCGCCCCGGGGGAAGAAGATCAAGTCGCCCCCATGGAGGAAGAAGGTGTCGAAGACGTCCCCGCCCTAGACCAACTCGCCCTCCCAAAACCCGACGACTTCTTCCCCCCCGCGGGGGACGATATGGACGACGAAGAACCCATTTCAACCTCCTCCTCCGTCAAAGAAGCGCAAGCGCAGGCCGCCGAACTCGCTCGCAAGGAAAAAGAGGCCGCTGTCGAAGAGAAAAAGCGCAAACAGAAGGAAGCCGACGAACTCAAGAAGCAAAAGGCGGAAGAAAAGAAGCGCGAAGCGGAAGAAAAAAAGCGCGAAGCGGACGAACTCAAGCGCCAAAAGGCCGAAGAAAAAGCCAAAGCGAAGGAAGAAGCCGACAAGAAAAAAGCGGAGGAAAAAGCGCTCAAAGCTAAATTAGCGGAAGAAGCGAAAAAAGCCAAGTTGGAAGAACAGCTGGCAAAAGCGCGAGAACAGGAGGAACAAGAACGCCTCAAGAATGAAGAACTGTTACGATTACGAGAACAAGAAGCCGCCGCGAGAAGCGCGGCCGGCGCTTTTGACGAATATCCCGCCGAATCTCCTCTTCCCCCAGAAGACATCCCCGCCGACATGGAAGAAGACGAAGAACAAATTAAAGACGTCCCCACCCCCACCGGAACGGGCAGCAGGAAGAAAAAGATCAAGAAAACGTTCGTCCAACTCCCCAAACTTCCCGACATCCCGCGCCCAACGCTCCCCTCGTTCGATCTCGACTTTAAGCGAAAGGTTATCAAACGCTCCAAAACACCACCGGCGCGACCAACCCCGCCGAAATTGAAGCAACGTCGCGGTCTGGAAGAAGAAACAGCTGAGAATCAGCTGGCCGCCCAGTACGCTGGAGAAATAGCGGCGCGAAAATTGGAATTCGAACAAGACGAAGAAACAGGAGGGCCACCCATCGTGAGAAGTGTCCAATTTCCGCAAACCCCCATTTTCGTCACGCAACCATCCACGGAAAACAATTCCGTCACCACGGAGACAGAATCCGTGCCGAAGAAGGGGACGCCTTCTTATCGAAGTGACGACGTCATGGATGACGAAACATCGTCATACCCTGGACCAAGTGGCGACAAACCCCAACCTGCTTCGACGAAAGAACGTTTCGACAAATTCGGCCAACAAGTTAAAACCTTCAGTCAAAAGAGTAAGGACATCGCGTCCAAAAAATCAAAAGCCATGGGCGCCACGATGAAAGTCATTGGCAAAGATTTGCAAAAGTTTGGCGTCAAAACGAGCGAAAAATTTCAAGCCACCATTGAAGAAATCAAACAGAAACAGGAAGCCGCCAAAGCGCGGACGAAAGAGTTACAGGCGCAAAAAGCGAAGGAAGCGGAGGACGCGATGGCGCCGCATGGCGACGACGCCGGCGAGGAGGAGGAGCCTATCCTCCACACCGATTATGCGACCGAACCACGCCGAAAGTTCAGATTTCGAAGGAGGGATGATTCTCAAGAAGAATCGCAACATCAAAGCAGAGAAGAAGAAGATCATGTCGACGATGTCGCCACGTCGTCGCCATACCCGCCACCAGACCAACAACAAGGCGCAGATGGCGACAAAATAACGCGCAGCCAACTTCTCGGCCGGGCCGAGCGGGATTGGGAATCTCCCCTCGACGAGCTCGCCTCCCGATCCAGGGACGTTTCCGAAGATCGTGGAAACGTGTCTTCATCCCGCGATTCTCCGCCAGGTTCTAGCCTCGCGTCTTCCACTTTCGGTCCTCACGTCGCGACGGGGGGTCCACCTCCCCCCGGGGGAGACGCGCACATCAGGAAACGCGGCGTTTTAGAAGAAATCGACTCTGACGAATTTTTCTTAAGAGAAAAAGGCATCTCTGAAGGGGAAGATGAAGAAGAAATTAACCGATTTTTAGTCGAAGAGTTACGCCAAGCGTTCCGCTTTCAGGAAAATGCGCTGGCAGGGTTCGACCTCGATCCGGAAGAGGCCCCCCAACGGCCCGGGCGACAACCGAGGAAACCCGCGCGGAAAGAAAAATCGGGGGATCCCTCCTATCAAACTTTTCCCCCAGAAAGACCGCGACGAAAGGCGCCCGGCTATGTGTCCGACTACATCAAAGAACAGGGCGGCGAAGGAGGGGACGAGGAAGCTGGGCGACGCTCTTATCTCGAGGAGGAGGAAGACCTCGAAGAATTCGGCGACGATAACACCCGACGCGTCATTAAGGACGATCTTGAAGATCTTGAGCATCAAATCGTTCAACAGTTTGTCGACGATGGGCGGTACGAACCCGTCGTTGGCGGCGGAGGCGCAGAACCCGTAAAACCGACCCGAAGTCGGCGAAACAAGAAGAAGCCTGACGCCGGCGAGGGGGGAAGTCCCCTCTATTACAACACGGTCGCGGGAAACGACTGGATGCGCGATGAAGAACAGGCCACCACCACCTCCGCCCCTGCGCAAGTCGACAGCGAAGACGTCACCTTCGTCGACGCGCAAGATCACTCCCAGCAAGACCGAGGGGGAGACGATGACGCCGATTTTGACGACATGGAATACGTCGATGACGCCGGTTACGCGGTCGTTCGAAAAGAAGCGCGGCCAGCGCCGAGGACCGTGCCGCGGAGCAAGAAGAACAAACGTGGCGGAAGTAGTAAAGGGAGCAGTTTAAAAAGACAGCAGGGTTCGGTTAGTCCAGATGCCGCAGCCGCGACCGCCGCACCCGGCGCCTCCACGTCTAGCGACGCCTTCTTCTCCCTTCCTCGTTTCACTCCGAGATCCCTTCATATCATCCCGCCGTCGCGACCACAGCGCAATTACAGCACTTTGCGACCACGACGACCCCCACGACAAGGCAGATCGAGTCATACGCCGACCAAGGCGGCGGGGGCGGCGCCGAAGGATGGCGACAAAGCTGGTCGTGGCGACGGAGCCACCAGTCCGGGAGGGAGTCGCCCCAGCACGGCGATCGGGATAATGCAGGGCCGCCCCTTGCCCGCTATTCCGTCGACGGAACGGCCCCCTAGATTGAACGACTTGGATCAGTCCTCCATCGAGCGGGCGGTGGGGGCGCGGCATTATGCTAATTTTGTGGAGGAGGCGGCTTGCGTCGCGACGAATATTCCGCTGTTGGGGGCGGCGGGAGGAGATGTCAATATTGCGATTCAGACCGACCCAGTCCAGGCGTATGATGAGGATGAAGCTGCAGCAGGAGGTCAAAGACAAAGGTGCGTGGGTTTGTATTAGTAGAAGTAACCAACCAGTGGCCACGGAAGCCGTGGGGACATCTGGGGACGTTATACTTCGTATAATAGTGGAGGGACGAGTTAATTTATATAAGATGGGGAGATGATGCGGACATCGAATAACTATGAGGACATTGTCCCGCTGTCCCTTCAAGCTTCCGCGGCCACTGGGAGTGACCACTTGCAAGAAATAACGGGGATAAGAAAGTGGTTTCTTGCACCTGTTTATTTTGACCTGCAAGAAATGCAAGGCGCAAAAAACAATGCTCCGCCGCCACCGTAAATACATCATACCGCACGTGGCAAGACGCCGCACATTTCTTGGACTTTCTCCCAGTTTCTTGCACCTCGCATTTCTTGCGTGGCTTGTTTCGTAGTGCAAGAAATGTATGTAGAAACTAAACACTGATTTGCATAGTGGGTGCACAAATTGAGGGATTTTTTCAATACTCACATTTATTTCCTTGACCTCCAGTGATTCTCAAACTACTGGACCCACGGAGACGACGGCTGGGCTCAAACCGCAACAACGAGCGTATTCAACCGGTCGAGTGAATCAAGGTGGCGACGGAGACGCGCAACAGCAACGTCCCCTCTCCTCCGCCGCTTCGGGGGAAGGGTTTCCGAGCGACCACCAGTTCCAATTTCCGAGACGGCTACATTTACACGAGCTGGAGGTGGATGTCCTCCGAGTGCACGATTTGAGTGCACACTCCATCACGGCGGATTCTCTGAGGGCGTCACAAATTGAGGTAACCACGTGTATTTTGTGTGACCACGTGTATAATTAAAAGTCTCAAAATAACAATGGAGGTCTAGCGGATGCTCTCCGATTTTGAGCAAATTTGTGCGAATTGATGGCAAATTAATTTGTATGAAATTTGCGAAAGGCACGATCTCCCAATGGGCAAGTTTGGCCGAGATATTTGCATCCCAATAGGAGAAAACGCCCAGTAAATTTGGAGAGTGTAAAATTTGTCGCGCTTATCGCGCATTTTCTCCTCTTCTGATGCAAATATCTCTGCCAAACGTGCCCATTGGGAGATCTCGTCTTTCGCAAATTTCATACTAATCAAATTTGCCATCGATTCACACTAATTTCACCATAAAATCTGATCGCTTCCCCTTATTTTCCTAGGTGAACTCGCTAACGAGCACTGGCCCACTCACCGTGTCCTCGATCCACACCCAAACCTTGAACTCTGACCAAGTGAACTGCAACCGCCTCGCGAGTGACACCGTCGACCTGCCCACCATGGTCCCACCCGCCTTTTACAACCTCTCCAGCCCCCCCGACGACAAAGGTGCCCCCGACAAGAAGGAAGAGCTACGACGCGATCCTGAAACCGACCTCCCGTGTCCCTACACACCCTTCGAAGACGACGAAAATATGGACGACTTCGGCGGCAAAGGGGATAACTCCGTGGGCTCCCCGATCGGAGACTTTTTCGGCCGCAGTCTCGAATTCTGCTTGACCCCGGAACAATCCGTGGACAATGATGACTCCTGGGGACATCAAATTCCCCCACAAAAAGGCGAAGAAACCACAACCAGCTCAACCCGGGTAGAAGATGATGTCGCCCACTGCTCCGAACTTCCTTGCGACGAATCCTCCGGAACGGAACCGACACTCTCCTCCACTTCAACCGGAGAACAAGAACAAGAACCCGAAAAACCCGCCACATTCGCCCTGGACCGACACTCTTTCAGAATCGCAGCAGTATTAGAAAACGACGACAGCGTTGAAGAAGAAGACAAAAAGGAAGACTTGAACTTTTATCTGCAAGACGAAGCCCCCGTTTTAAGCGGCTCGCTCCGCCTCGAGTATCGAAGATCGCCCGAAGTTCCATCAGATTTCCAGGTTTTGCACGACATCGTAGAAACCGAGGAGGCAAATTTCGCCGCCCCAAAATCGTCACCGACGCCACCACCACCACAACAACAAGCACGACCGGAAGTGACACGTGGTCCGTCACCCCTTATCGCACCACCACCACAATTAGTGCCCTCTCGAGTAGAACAACAACCGGAAGTGATGCCACCACCACCCACCCTCCCCCCGCGACAATTCCCCCCTCCTCCTTCTTCTCGTGGAAGTACAAACTTATCGGAACGAAGAACAATTTCAACTGAATCGTCATCTTCGGGATCGGGGGAACGATCATCCGAATCATTTAGTCGGACCACGTCATCGTCCCGGGAACCGTCAACAATCCGGGTATCGGAGTCTTCCTCGACAGCAATTGTTCCCCCAGTGGCGCAACTGCAAGTTCTTGAAGGACAAGTGGAGGTGGACCACGGTGACGAAACCTTGGTCGCCATGAGCATCCGGTTTGTCCATGTCGTTACCCGCGTCATGATGCGAGGCCTGCAAGCGATCGTGGATTATGTCGACATCGCCACGACGGACGACCCTTCGAAGGCGGAGGAACAAAGGGCCCACATGCAAGTCCTCCTCTGCCTGTTGCTTATCCTCCTCGCGGGAATTATCTTGTCCTCGAGTAACAGCGTGGTGTCCTTTTCTCCCCCGAAATGGGAGTTCCTCATGCCGCCACCGCATCTTTGAGGGAGTTATCTTATCTTATCTTATCGAGAGGACCGTATCTTTGAAGGAGTTATCTTATCTTATCTTATCTTGAAGAAGAAAAAATAAACATGAGCATTTCTTTCTTTCTTTTCTTATTGGTGACAAATAATGAAATGAAAATGAAATGAAGTTGAAATGAAGAAAAACGTGAATAAGTTTCATTTTTCATTGTGTAGAATTATGTAAATATGTAGAAGAACAAAAATTGTCAGGTTTTGCCTGGGAAAATTCGTGTCCCCCCCTTCCCCCCATTTAAATTTATCTCTGCCTCCGACGATAAGGTCAATTGATGTTATCATTACTTATTTTCATGCCGTTGGGATTGTGCAACTCTGATTAATTGAGAATTACTTAGATTTGCATAAGAGTATTTACCTGTACCCTGCTTAATATGTGATATATTGAAGAAAATGAAATTCCAAATTAACACCCACGTCAAATAATTGGCTTTAGCAATTAAATTGTTATTATTATTATCCTAAATATTACTAATTACATGTATGGAAAATGTTTCATGAGTGTGAAGTAAAATAAAATAATTCCAATGAATACATTGTGTATGCATGTTTTTCATGTAAAAGAAGCACTTATGTAAATCATGGTAAGAGCAGCTTATCAAGAAAGATGGGTAAGAAATCGAGTCGCTCTGGTATATATGCAAAGAAGCAGTTATGCAAATGAGACGGGAAAGAGTCGACATGATGCGAGCAGCTTAGTAAGAAATCGAGTCGCTCTAGATGGTTGCGCAGCAGTCGCACTACTTCACACTCATCTCTCTCGTTACGTTAAGATGAGCCCTTCTTATCATCCATCTTATCACCATTTCTCGTAACGGCGAGCCCTTCTTATCACCAACTCGCTCTCCCTCTTGGGGAATTAAAATTCAGGAATTTCTGACTGATAAGAAATGGAACGTTCGAGACTCTTAATTTCCTCATAAGTCGTAAACAACTTATTCACCAAGTGTCGAGCCCCTCTTATCAATTTGCTCTTATAAGACATTAAAATTCAGGAATTTCCGATAAGAAATGGAACGTTCGAGACTTCAATTCCTGATAAGTCGTAGAGAACAACTTATCCATTTCTTCTCCTCATTTCGACTCAGACGCTTGACTCGAACAGTCATCATCTCTCCTTTAAAAAGTTCCCAGTACAAATTTCCAACTCTAAAATGCGCCCCACCACCAGGAAATCTGACCGCATCGCGAAGAAGCCGCGCGTCTACTATGGCACCACCACCACCCGCGCAAAGGGGAGGTCCGTCCTGGCGAAACGTGACGCACTCAAGACCATTCTGGAGGAGGAGGAGAGAGACCGCCACGTCGTCACCCCTCCAACCCACACGGCGGACGTGAATGTTGGGACTTCAACCCACGTGGCAGAAGTAGACGTTGAACGGGACACGTTCCAGAATCACGACGGATGGACCATTTTCGACAAGTGGGAGAAGGAGGAGGAAGAATATCTTCGGAAAAGGGGACCAGTCATCCCACCACCACCGGGACGAATCCCCATCCCAAGGAACAGACTGGGCCGACCGGAAAGGTACGTACGTGGTATCAACTCATTTATAAGTTTACAGTTTTTCACGTGCAAGAAATAACGGGAGAAAGAAAGTGTTTCTTTACAGGTGAATATTTTGACCTGGGAGAAATGCACGGTGGGAGAAACTACGCTCCGTCGCTGTAAATACGGCATACTGCGCGTGACTTGATGGCGCATATTTCTCCCAGTTTCTTGCACCTCAGATTTATTGCATTGCTTGCTTTCCATTGGAAGATATGTAACAAACCCGCAAAAAATGGTTTCTTGCAGTGGTAAATATTTTGACATGTAGGAAATTCAAGGCGCAAGAAAATACATCCCTTCGCTAAAGTTCATACGGTCCGTATTTCTTGCACCTTGAATTTCTTGCTCCGCACTGCAAGAAATGTGGCAAACCCACAAGAAACACCAAGCTATTTGTAACAATATTCAATACTTTCATTTCTCGCGTAGAGACCCGAACATCCGTGGGACTGGAAAATTGGCCAAGGTCTACAAGGATTTTCTCCCCCACCAGAAAAATTCAAGGCCAACCTCTGAAGGGCCATATGCCCCACAAGAAGAAGTCGAATTCTCATCGCAGGGTAAAACCTTCTCTCAACGATTGGAAAGCATACTCCGCCCCATGCTCAACAGATTTAAAAATCAAAAATCAAAATGACACCGACTTACATTACATTTTTCTATCATGTAAACTTCAAAAATTGAAAAAGGTAAAATCGAAACGTACAAAAATATGACTAAATTTAATTTATTGTGAAGAAAATAGTTAATTTTTTATAGATTAATTTGACTCAATATTATCGGATTTACTTATTTAATTACTCAATTATTATCCTGCTTATAATTTATATATACAAAATAAAGAATACAATAATCACTTTTATAATTATTCTGTTACATGATAATGTAGGAAATTCTTAATAAATCATGATTTTCACGAGGGAAAAATTACAATAGATTGTAGTTAATTATGAATTGATTGATTGGATGGTCATATTCATGCGGTCTGCAATAACGGCGGAAGTTGGGGGGACATAAAGGGGGGACATTAGGATTGTGTTGGGGATAGGAGGACGAGGGACTTATTAACGTGGGAAAGATGAATTTGTGGGGGAGGGCATGTGGGAACATTAGAATGGAAAGGAAGGACTAATTAACATGGGGAAGATACGATTTTGCTGAATTTCTGTGTGGGGGGGGGGCGGAATGCCCCCCTACTTCCGCCGTCAATGCGATACAAGTCGTCATTATTATTATTATCCCCTCACGATATAAAGACCAGCGAGAAGGCAAGGCCGACACAGAACAGGGCGACGTACGGACTTGTTCTTTCCCCGATTCGTGCACATTTCCAAAACGTCCCAAGTAATCTGCAATGATTTAATTAAGTATATTAATTAAGATTCAATTATAAATTTAAAAAAAAACTCTTAAATGTCCTTTTACCCTGTCTTGTTACGGTCCAGAACGGATGGGAAAATAGATCTGAGGTAGGTACACGTACAAATTAGAAGGGCCACGACGGTCAACAAGCTTTGAAAGTTGAATAGGGCAGACTGTAAGCAAAAAACAAAACAATTAACTAACCATGACGTGGACGTCGCCTTATACGTATTACTAATCTGATACTTAATTTAATTGGCAAATTATTATAAATTATAATACTAAATTGGAATACATCCAAGCGTTTTGTTAGACAAACAAACAATTAACTAACCAATTAATTACAAATTAATATTGACATGAGTCAAACTCAAAACAATTAACTAATCATGACGTGGACGGCGTCTCATTATTAATCCGATACGTAATTTAATTGGCAACTATTATAACACTAACTTGAAATAAACTCAAGTATTTCATTAAAAAACAATTAAAATTAACTAAACCCTTAATTAAGATAAGATTAATCATCTCCATTCCACTTTTCAAAACAATTTACTTACCATCTCTCAATTTTAATTTCACCAAATTGTTCTCATGAATAAATTGTACCCCACTTTTTCCACGACACAGATCAAAATTTCCAATTTTAGTCTTCTTTTTTCAGGAAATTTTCAAGAACTTTTTAATTTTTCACTTCAACCGGTCATGTTCATGTGAATGCGAATCTCCATTTCGTGAAAAAAGTCTCCTCTCGCCCTGAACGTGCAGAGGCAAAAAGTTGACCGGGCTGCGTTTTTTTCACCCACTTGCTGCTGCTGCCGGAGACTAATTAACCGACAATAATTTTAATTTTTTAATTTTCTATTTTTAAGTAATTAAGTAATTGACTAATTAACTAACTAACTATTTTGTGCGTGGGTGTGGTGGTCGCTTTACGAAAATGATGAATAACACCTCCCTCACCGCGATTCGAGAGGAGAGCAGCGGCCTCAGCAGTAATGACGAGTATGAAGATGTTACGGACGACGAAAGTGAAGGTGACGATGGGAGGATTGAACTACAGTCGAAATTGCAATTAACGGGAAATCAGGCGAGGATGGAGGGACTTAAGGTAAAGAAAGGGGTACTAATAATAAGTTGGGGGGAATAAAGGGGCTGAAAAGGTTAATTAATTAGGCGCTTAATTAACCCCATGTGAGCTTTATTACGAGCTTTTGAAGAGCTTAATTAAGCTGCTGAGGAGTTTTATAAGGCGCTGAGTGTATAAACAGGTCAAGGCCGTCGTTATATGACTTTAACGGCCATTTTTGCCAATTTTAATAAGTTCGCCAATTATGTTACTAGAATTTTTGACTGCTTCATCCTGATCGTGACTATTTTTAATGCAGGAGAAAATAAATCTAGCTTTAGTAAGCTCTTTGTTAGCTAAATTAACTCCTGTTCCTCTGACTGTAGTGGTGTAGATGATGATTAATGTAAATAATGATGAATATTATCGTATGATTATTAATCATGATGATAATTTGACCGTATTTGCTTTTATGTATGATTATAGGAGCTTCGCGAGTTGTACCAACGAGTCTCCACCCGTCTCACGACGAAGGACGATACTCGCTTAAAAAAGGCAGAGACCAAGATTGCAAGTTTCTTGGATGAGGATGACGTCAAGGAGAAGAAGGAATTACAAGTTTTCGAAAAACTAGAACAACTCACGGGCAGGCCGAGTTTCGGGTCGAGCTTATCTCTCGTAGAACAATTTAAGTCGATGGGACTGATGGAGGTGGACGGTATGTCGAAATCCGAAGATGGGATTTTGCAACAAGATGAAGTCGAGTTACGGGCGACCACGACTGAATCGTCGTCGTCTTCGGATGACGAAGTTTCAGACGAGGAGGAAGAAGAGGGCAAAAGATCGATCACTCGACGACGATCTTTTGCAAATTTAAGTAAAGAAGATCTATTAGATGACACAATTGATGGCGACCTTTCAACCTTTTCCGATGATGTCCGTGCCTTTGAAAAGTATCGGACCGAAGAAGAAATTAAATTAGCCCGGAAGCGAGCTCAAATTCAAGAAGAGAAGAAGAAAATTGATAAATTAAGGAAAGAACTGGAAATGGGTGGATCATCCCAGAGCAAAAATGAACCCGTGGACGAAATTGACGGCGGGAATTCAACCTCTTCCGATGCTGTCCGTGCCTTTGAAAAGTATCGATCTGAAGAGGAAGCCAAACTGAGCAGACAGCGAGCTCAGATCCAAGAAGATAAGCGAAAAATTGACAAATTAAAAAAAGACATGGAAATCGTCCGAACCACGAATGCTCAATATGCCTCACATATCAGTCAACTTGAAGATAAGCTTAAAACTACGCATTTGGAATGCTCGAAAAAACTTTCCAGTAAGAATCTCGCCCTAACAAAGATGAGGAAACAGAATGAAGAACATTTAAAGGAGAATGCAGAATTGAAAGAAAAGTTGGCAAAGTTTACAAATAGTACAAAAAAAGCAACGTCGCTGAACCCACTCCGCCCCACAGCTCAACCGCAGGCAACAGGTCAACGATCAATTTTAAAGAAAACGATTCATTTCGAAAATGAGGAGCCGAACAATGAAAACAATAACAATAAGCAGGAACGAAATTCGTCTCCCTTTTTTGGACTTAAAACTACTCCAAATGCAGTACCTTCCTTGAAACAGCGATCTCCATCCATCCGAAAATCTGTGAAAGAGTATGACCAAGAATATGATGGCTACTGCGACACCAAAGAGAATCAAGATCCTGCTGATGATGGACCCATGTATAATGATAACAACAACAATGCCAAAACAGCTCCTGCCATTAATATGAAAACTATGCAAAGTATGCTTAACAATTGCAAGCTTGATGACACGGTTGAAACCGCGTTTCCAAACGGCACCCGAAAATATGTATCAAAAACTAAGCAATATACCAAGTAAGTGACAGAAAATTGAATATTTCTTATATACGTTTTTGTGATTTGAATGCTAATTGTAATTAATAATTTTTAATCATTTTATTTCCAGAACTTTGTACAAAAATGGAGACATTAAGGAGAAACGGTCTGATGGATCGGTGCACTATTTCTTCTCCACATATGGACTGCGACATTACGTTTATCCTAATGGATTAGAGATGACGACGTATAAGAAGTATGTATATACCGCATATTTTAGTTAAATTTTCAATTTATCCAAGATTTTTTATGCTGATAGTTTTTATTATTTTATAGTGGGCAAGTCCAACGAAAGAATCCGGACGGAACATCAGAAATTCTGTATCAAAATGGCTGCGTAAAGTTAATCCGATCCGATGGATCCGAAGAGTTCATCTTTCCAGATAACACTGTATACCAAACGGACGAGGCTGGAAATACCATCATTCTCTTACCCAATGGTCAGAAAGAGATACAGAACGAATCCTGGAAAAAACGTGTACTTCCCGATGGAACAACTAGAACTGTGTATGCGGATGGCTCAATCGAAACGACATATGCAAGTGGAAGAGTTCGTGTAAAAAATGCAGATGGAAAGTTAATTATGGATGAACAAAAACAAAAACCAGCTATACTTGGAGATAGTAAAAATACTAATTGGGATGAAAACACCCCTGTTCCTGCTACTATGTAAAATTTATACTCCTCGGAATAACTCGAGACTATCATATCATAAAATCCAGAATTATTCAGTTGACAAAATATTATGACTTGTGTGTGGGCACGTGTTTTTTTTACTCAGGTTTTATAGAAAGGGAATCATTATCATATTATTCTTGTGTTCATTTTATCCATTATTTTATTATTATAAAAAAACCACTCACTCGTTTTTATATAACTTTTAAAAATGAAAATGTTTTCTATTCAAAATGTCTGAAACTATTTTATTTGTATGTTGATTAAATCAAGAACACTAAAGTGAATTGTAAACCCGGCTTCTAATTATTTTTCTGCACCTTCTAAGGGAACGTTTATAAAATATGTGACACAAAATTGACCATTTTCTTCTTAACATGTGGCGCAAGTTGCCTCCATATCTTATAAACGTTCCCAAACAATTTAGACGACGAGTACCACCTGAATCATGTCACAAACTACCCAGGGGAACATTATCTCCCCCTCTTTATACCGGCGGGGGTCGTATTTCCGCCTCATAAAGCATGGCTTGCATCTGGGCGTCGTCTTCCGGCGTGATGTCGACTCGATGAATCCAAGCAATGTAAAGCGCCTCGAACTGTTTCGTACTTGGTGGAAAGTTCTTCAAAATCTTGACCATTTTCTCCCTTCTTTTGCTCTCGGCTAGATAAGCAGTCGTTATCCTGGCAGAAGATTCAGCTGTACGAGAAGGAACAAGGTGATTTATAAATTAAACATAAAATTGTGAAAAAAATAATCAAGAAAGATACAAAAAAGTGAGAGAGGCGTTAATTATTTTAAGAATATCATCACGTTTTTAATTTTAATCTTTTTTGTGTGATTTTTTGTTTACAATAGTTCATCACATCAATAATGAGATTAAAATTAGGTATATATTAGATAATTATATCATATAATTTATATGTATAAATTATTAGGTTAAAATAAAATATAGCTTAATTTAATTTTTGGTACACCTTCGGAACTTTGATTGATTGATGATGATATAATTAATTATCGTTGATTTTGTTTACATGTCTTCTTTTTCAAGTCACCGAATAAATACAAATATAACGATAAATTATGTATTTACACGCGATAGATAATCGTGTCGATAAGCTAAAATAGTGACGGGTTTGTCGTTGTTGTTGCTTTACTATTCTCATAAATTTGAACTAATCGTCGTATCATAAATTGTGGAGGAAACATATGGCCGTCGTCATCAAATAATCATTATTATAATCGTTGTAAATAATGTCTTTGATATCTAAATCTTATTAGTTTTTTTAATTAACATTGGAAAATTGACTATGGATTGTTTTCCGACAACGATTTAGACCAGTGTAAACTTGAATTTTAGAAACTTTGACTAAAAAAGTAGTGTAAAAATCTGAAATCTCAACAATTAATTATTCATGTGTAAAGGAGAATGTCTCGAGTTTTTAAACTATTTAGGTAACGTTTTAATACAGAAATGAAATTACGTTCAGAAATTTGAATTCAATAGTTTTCATATTTCTAGAAAAAACTGACCATCATTAGAAGATTCGTTCGAGGGGAACGATTTAATTTCAAAATTTTAATTTCCTGTTCTTTTAGTAAGGAAAAAATCTATCACAATATTTTTACGTATTTACTTAACGTTGCTGCTGGCCGTATATATGTAAGTAAATATAATAATTTTGCATAATTTTTGCCAGTTGTGCGAATTACAGTTCATTGTTACCAATTGTAGCAGAATTCATCGCGAAAAACGTGACCAACACTCAGACAGGAACATATCTATTTTTCAAGGATTTACGATTAAAGTTGGAAAATTATCGAATTAATTGATTAAACTTATCGCACAATTTTCAAAATTTGAAATTATCTAATCGTCTCCTTCTTTAAGTACTTTCACTGTCAGCAATGCAGTTTTTCAGCGTGTGCGTACGTAGGTGTTTTATTATTGATTTTCAAAAGGTATGTTCCGCACTGTTTCTGACCAAAATTTTGATGAAATAACAAACTTTAGATACATCTAGGATGCTGTGATTTTTTTCAGCCCTTTAGGTTAACATTAACACTAGCAATAAATCAGCAAACTTTACCTCGACGGAAAAAATGTCACATTAAACATCGTAGTGTGATTTAAATTTTATTGCTGGAGGGGCAATATGTGTCGCAGATTTATGATTGAATGCTTAAAGTTTACGATGGAAACTGCTCAACACAAAGCACAAATACAATTGGGTCGATAAGTTCAAATAAAGGCGAAAAGATGTCCCAGACAAAAAAGTCGCCAGGATACCCAAAATCGGTTTCCACCGCAGAAAACCTCCAGAAACTTAAAGACCCAATTATTAGAGATCCACGATTGAAACTGTCCTATTTAGCAGATGAGATGGGTGTTCCAAAACCAATAATTTGTTCCATGTTAACTGAAGACTTAGGTATGAAAATGGATTCCTTCTGTTGGGTATCAAAATTGCTTTTGGCATCTCAAAAACAAGATCGAGTTGCTTTTGCAATGCAAATTTTGAGCTTTTAAATGAATACTGGAACCTGTATCATATTTTAGTAGTTGAATAAGATACTTGGGTTTACTATTATGACCCGACGACCACACAATAATTCATGCATTGGAAGCACGGGGGATTTCCACCACACATAAAAGGAAAAGTGCAAAAATCTGCCAAAAAATTGATGATGATCAGTTGGAAGGATACCAAAGGTCTCCTCCTTATAAAATTTATTGCTAGAAATACTACGATAAATGGGGCCGTGTATGCAGGAACCCAAAAAGAGCTGCGTTCTGCGGTTGAAAAGAAACGCGGGGTCAAAATAAAGAGTTGGCCTTTTTTTAGACGACAACGCGCCACCAAATACCTCACTGTTTTAGAGAGCTGATGCAGACGAAAATCGCTTTACCTGCACAGACCACCCCCCCGTGCAGTCCAGACAGGACCCTTAGTGATTATTATCCGTTTCAAACGCTGAAGAAAAACATCAGGGGGAAACGATTTTAGGATGATAATGGAATCAAGTCGTAAATTTTTGCATATTTTCGAGGTAAATTTCGATGATTTGTTGCGGGTGTTTCTTTTAACCGATTGAGCTGAAAAAAATCACGACTTCCAAAATGTTTTTGAAGTTTGTTATTTCATCAAAATTTTGGTCAGAAACAGTGCGGAACATACCTTTTGAAAATCAATAATAAAACACCCACGTATATTTTTTACGAATTACATGAGGAAATTGTACCTTTATAAGATTACCTTACTTTACAGTGTAGTACCAAAATTATGACAATGTACTAAATATTTCGATCTAAATATTTTGTATGATTTTTTTCCAGGTTTTCCACACTTTTTGGAATGACTTACAATGGAGGCGCAAACCATGTTCAGCCCAGATAATTTATTGACCTTATTAGTTTGAAAGAGCAAGTCTTTACAAACAACATTTGGTTCGGCACTTGGGCAGATGCGCAAATTTCAGCACGTTATGGGCGCCGTAAGTTCGCAAAAACGCACGAAATTGAGCTCGCGCTGGGCATTACCCGAAAAATCGTGCGTTTTTGCGAACTTGCGGCGCCCATAACGTGCTGAAATTTGCGCATCTGCCCAAGTGCCGAACCAAATGTTGTTTGTAAAGACTTGCTCTTTCAAACTAATAAGGTCAATAAATTATCTGGGCTGAACATGGTTTGCGCCTCCATTGTTCGATACATATTTTGGTTTCCTCAAAAAAGGGATAAAAATTTTAGGGGAAAAATTATTTTTTTTGAAAATAATTAAACAAAGTAAACAAACCTATGTACGTAAATAGAATGAGATTTTTACCAGTAAAAAGTGAACTGAAGATAAATTTATATATTAAAAAACAACAATCTTTTTGAAGAGACAACGAAACGACGAAGCTTTGCGTTCCACGATAACCACTGACTGACTGACCAGACAAGTAGACTCACTTGTTAAAAACTCTGTATAATACATGATTTAAAACCGACATGCAGTAAAACACCGACAAAAAAAGAAGGTTGAAAATTGGTAAACAATTGTGACAAAAATATGTTTGGGGGAGATTAGGTAAAACTAAAAGCAGAGGGTCAACGCCGCGGCGTCAAATTGTTGATGATTTTTCGGCGGCGCGGCAATAGGAATAGGAAATCTGATTTATCTGCGGCGACGCGCGACGGTTGACGGCGCTGACCTCTGAAGGAAATGAGACTTTAAGCTTAAGATCACTCACTGGGCTATATTTTTTATATGTACACGTTCACAAAACACTTTCCCTGTCGGGGGGATATTCTGCAGAGTGATTGCCACCCTCACCACCACTACTCGTCGTACTTTCACCACCATCTTTCGTCAGCAGGTACAAGTTTGCAGGATCGGGCACATTTGTATTTGACGAGTTATAAGATGACGACGACGGTGCTGACGATGCCCCCATTTTGGGCCCTCCTCCTGCCCCACTCTGTGATGATCCGTTGATAATCGTGTGAAACCATTTTTTCAGATTGTTACTCTTTTTCTTCTCTTTCTCCCCCCCGTTCGGCTCTTTCCTACGGTTTCGAGACGAGGATGTCGTGGATGACACAGATTTACGTTTCCGTAACGGTTTTGAAGCTTCATCCGGTGTCATATTTGGTGGTTCTGTGGCGTCATCGCCTAATTGTTCGTCGTCATGATGGTGTTCTTGTTCATCGTCATGTTCCTCCGACTCGTCACAAGTTTCACAAAAGTTGGAAGAGTATCGTCTCTCCGGGCCGGGCAAGCCTTCAGCATGATCGAGCAGATAGATAGACTCGTTCCGGTCGTCCGACGTGTAACTGAGGGTGTCCAAATCCATATGGTTAGGTTTTCTGAAATGGCGGTACTGCTTGTTGTACGTTGGTCGTTTGCAGAGGGGAGGAGGCGTGTGGTGATGGTCGTAGAAACGGAGGGCATTATTACCACCACCCCCACCAGTAAAAATGTTGGAGGAGGAGGTGTTCGTATTGGCGGTGGGGGTATTGGGTGGGAGCAGGTTAGGCGAGTTAGGATCACTGGAAGGGTTATTAGGATTTACGGCGTCGTCATTAAGAACATCATCCGCATCCACAGATCTTGACATTCTTCTCAATTTAGAAATAGAGTTTGGCGGAGGGAGATGATTATCCCGGGCGACGAGGACATCCAACGATCTCGACTCACGGACCGAAACCTGCTGGACAAGTTTCTGTCGGGGAGGTATCACGAACTTTTTATTCTTCAGCCAGAGATTGCTCGGACACGAGGGGGATTGCGGGAGGCTCTGCGTACTGGTGGAGGACGCTTGTTGCGTCACACTTGCCGGGATGGGGAGAGGCACCGGTCCCACCGTACTTTTCACCGGGGAGGGGGTCCCACTATGTCCCAGCATGCTGGAGTGGTCACTTGGCGGTTCTATCGTGATGACGGAACAGTCCTGTTGCCCGGGTTTGTTAAGGTCAAGCAGTTTCCGGGTGCGGGACGGCGTGTCGATCGGACTCGCCTTGTGGGACGATTCCAAATGTGAGTTGAGATTGGATTGACTGTTTCGATTCAGTTGAGAATTTCGGAGTGAGAGGGTTAACAGAGCGGGGTCGAAGCTGGGGCGGCGGATGTAGTTCGAGCTCCCCCGGTGAGCTTGCTGTTGACCGAGGTGAGTGCTACTACTATTATTCGCACCGGGGGGACCACACCCCCCACCGCAGAAGGACCCGTGTCTCGAGAGATTCCCAGAGTCGGTCAGTTTCGGGCTGCATCTCCGCCGGAAGCTGGACTGGTCGTTGAAATTTCCTAACCCGGCGCGCGGCCTGGAGAAGAGGGGGCGCAGATCATTGTTTTCGTTCCGTCTCGGGGAGACGGCGCCGTCACAGGCGGCGATCAACCACCAGGTGCGAACGTCCCCTTTTCCTTTGAGGTAGACGGTGCCTCGTTCTTTGATTATGTAGCCGCCCAACTTGTCCAGGACGACTTTGCACTCTTCGGAAATATGGATTTTTAAGGGTTCTCCGTTGCTCTCCATGCGCGAGGCGGTGTTGACCGTGTCGCCGAAGAGACAATAGCGTGGCATGGTGAGTCCCACGACGCCTGCGCAGACGGGACCGGTGTGAATGCCGATGCGGAGCTTTAACGTTTCATTGGGTCGGTGGGCGATGCGGTAGGTGTGGATGGCCGTGAGGAGGTCGAGCGCCATGGAGGATATTTCACCAGCGTGACGGATCCCGTTCCGGAGGGGGAGACCGGACACGACCTGGGGACGGGTTAAAGAGAAGGGTTTATTAGTGACACAATTTATAAGTGTGATTGTAAATATTATTGGGCGCACTCACGACAATGTTTGCAAATTAACTGGACTTATTGCCAAATTTTACAAGAACTCGGGTAAACTCTGTACTGAAAAAGGGTAAATTCGCATGGTTTGCAAATTAAGTGTCAAATTTTACTAAATTTATAACAACTTCGGCTAATTTTTTACTGAAAAAGTACAAATTCGCAGTGTTTCAAATTAACTGAACTTATTGCCAAATTTTGCGAATTTATAACATTTACTGAAAAAGTACAAATTCGCATGGCTTTCAAATTAACTAAACTTGTTGTAAAATTTTGTTAAAATTTATAACATTTTCTAAAAAACTTCTTACTGAAAAAATAAAAATTCTCTTTACTTGTAAATTAACTAGACTTCCTACCAAATTTAGAAAATTTAGAAAATCTCATAAAAACTCTTGACTAAAAAACATACGATCTTTCCTCTCAAATTTCCCTTTATCATTTCTCAAACCTTATCATTCCCATCCGAAACACGTGAGTACGCCCAATTCCAAAAACCCCAAACATAATTCCCTCTTCCTTACCATATACGCATCTCCAATCGTCTCCACCTTGTAGACATCATACCCCGTAATAATCGAGTCAAACAGGGTGTACAAGTCATTCAAAAAATTCACCACTTGCAACGGCGTGCTCTCCGCCGACATCGCCGTGAATCCCACAATATCCGAGAAATAAATCGTCACAGAATCAAACGACTCCGGCTCGATGCCACAACCCCCCGTCAACTTCAACGCCACGGGCGGCGGCAACATTCTATGCAGCAAATCCTCCGTCTTCTTCTTCTCCTGAAAGAGCAAACTCGTCCTCTCGGAAACCAGGCCTTCCAAATTGTTCGTATATTTCTCCATCATGGAAATCATGTGATCCATTATGTTGGGCGCCATCCCCTCCTTCAACGGCTTCAGTTTTTCCCTTATTGTCCTAAAAGTCGGCCTGTTTTCGACCACCTCGTCCCAACTGTCGCGCATGACGGAGATAACATAATCCGGACATAGGGTAGAACACTCATCCAAAAATTCGATATCCGGGCGAAACGGGACACACCCCAAATTTCTTCGGACATTATCCACAATTTCCTTTGGGTCATACTCACACATTCCGTAGGGGCCCTTCCGCCCATAAATCTCGTACAGAATGATGCCAAAGGCATAAACGTCGCCAGCCTGGGTCCCTTTTGCTGTGTGATAACCTTCCCTCAGCAGTTCGGGCGCGGTCCAGAGGAGGCTTTGAAAGTAGGAGTGTGACACGACCGGGTCCACCGAGATGGATGCGAGACGCAACTCGGAAAGACCAAAGTCGGTAAGTTGAAGGACCCAGCGTGACGTGATGACGCAGTTGGACGACTTCAAATTCCCGTGGACCCCGAGGTCCGAATCGTGCAGGTAAATCATCCCTTTAACCAAGTCATGTATCAGGGACGCGATAAAGGTCGAGTCCAACTTGATATCCTCATTCTCCACCACATCAGATAACGACCCTTTCCCACAGTAGTCAAAGATAAGCGAGATCCTCATCGGTTGAATGACAGCGCCATGAAACGAGTTAATATTCGTGTGACACCGTTCCCTCATGTAGCGCATTTCTTTCATCGTTTGTCGCGAAATGGCGTACTTTTTCACCAATTTTAGTTCCTTCACGCGCACCAGGGCGCCCTTGTAGTGCGCCGTTGTGCAATACATCTGCCCCAACGACCCCACCGACACGAGACTTATCCTCGACTGGCTATTGTCCCCGAACGGTTGCTGCATTTGTAACTCGGACTCGTCAATCTTCCAAAGTAAGCCTTCAATTTCTTGTTCTATCTTCCACTTCCGGTACAAACTCGCCGCGACGCAGAGCACGATGAAGAGGATAAGGCCAAACACGGAGACCATGATTATCGACCGATACCCCCTCCCCGGACCGAGGCAGCGTTCCCCCGAGAACCCACAGCGCGGCTCGTCCGACGGCTTTTTCCCGTTCACCCAATCAATCTGCATCCCAGAGAAGAGCCGCATCCGGGGAAAGGTTAAGTTCTCGGAGGGCGCGCGGGGATGAAAATTTCCCACCGGGATCATATAATGTTTACAGGAAAAGGAATGGTTCAGATTCATAATTCTGGTGAAACTATTGGGTTTAAAGGCGATCAGGGTGTAGTTTCCTTCCGAGTCGCCGTTCTCATCCAGCGAGATTTTTGCGCCGGTAATGCTCTCGTATTCCTTCATTTTGATGATGTGTTGAAATATCGCGAGCCCATCGCGCGCCAAGACTTGGATACTTTCCTCGGGGCGCTCTAACTTTAGCGAGTGCAGCGCCTTCGCGAAAAGGATGACGGAATCGTACAGATTCGCCGCGTATACAGAAACCTGCTTCTTGAACCCGATCAAGTCTCTAAAATTGAACGGGGGTCGTTTCCCGTAGGCGTTGACGAGATCGGAAAATGCGCTGTAGGTGTGATCTGGCGGACTCGGGGCGACAACGAGGAGTGATTTCGCCACGTTTTCTTCATAATTCGGCGCAATGGTGCAGTCCTCGATGCGGTGGTTGATGATATCCTGGTGACGCCACAGGTAATTGAGCGCCTCGCGCCGCTGGTACGTCATCATTTCGACAAAAATGACTAAATACTCCCCATTCTGGAATAACTGTAAGGACTGCATGGTTCCCATCATCTCGATAAGGTTCTTATCCTGCCCGATGAACACGTAGATCCTCGTCTTATTCATTGTCCCCGTAATGATCTCGTACCATTTCGGAGCCCCGTCCGTGATGTGGGTCACATTCGTGACGACGTAGCCGTTACTCTCGGCAAAGTTCTCGAGCGATTTGGCCACCGTGTTGTACTGCGTGGACTGCGTTTCCACAATGATGCTGAACCTGTTCCAGTGATAGTTATAGAGCACGGACAGGACAGATTTGACTATTTGCGTGTCCGGGGCTTCGGTTCGGGCGAAGGTGGGAAATTTACTTTTGTCCGAGACCGTCCCGTCTGGACAACGGTACGAGATCATGGTTCGGTTCCATGCGGCGGCCACGGTGGCTTCCACGTTGCAGGCGATTTCCGGTCCGAAAAAGGCAGCGACGTCTTCGCAGAGCATGTCGGTGAGGATTTTGGTGCCTTTTAAGGGGTCGCCTTCCGTGTCGCCGTATTTTAGGACGAGATTCACATCGGGGAGGAGGTTCGTTTGGTTGTTGATTTTCTCAATGGCGAGGAGGATGGCGCCGGAGATGGTGATTCCTTGACGGTGGGGGACGGACCCTTTGATCGCGGTGAGGTAGCCGATAGTCAAGTCTTCTTTGGAGGTGAGTTTGGGGCGGAGGATAAGGTTGGAGGAGGTGGAGGTGGATAAGTCAGCATTTCGGGGAGACGAGAAGAAGGAGGGGGCGGATATTGAATTGTTCTTGTACTGGGGATGGGAGTACTTGTTCCCGAACGAGGTGTGGAGAAAATTGAGGAGGAACAATAGCACGACGACGACGATTGTATACCAGTTGAGATTCTTAATTGTTCCGTGCTGCTGGATGTTAGTTGTTCTCCGTGGTCGAGAAATAATGTGCAGTCCATCACGACAATGATGATGATGATGGGACAATACGTACTTATCCATTTAGACGACGTCACAGGAAAGGATAGCGACGACTACAAGATAACGACGACGCGGAGGAGATGACTTCTATTGTACCCACGGACCTGACTTGATAAGCATTCGTATCGTCCTCTTCGCGTGTAATGGGCAGATTTATCGTAACAGAAAATTATGACGCGGAGTTGATAACTTCAAATTAACTTGATAAGCCTTCGTAACGGGCAGATTAGTGAGTATACGATCCTCTCTCCGTCGTCTCGTCACGCCGACACACTTTTCCTCACAGTAAATTATGACGACGACGACGTTAAGCTGGATAACTTCAAATTAATCGACCTCACTTGATAAGCATTCTTATATCTGGCAGATTTACGAGTATATACGATCCTTCTGTCTCCGTCGTCTCGTCTGGTCACACCGCACCACACCACACACACCGTGATTTTCTCAAGTCAATTAAATCATTGTTGTGTATTGCAGGTAAAAATAACTTGTAAAACTTTTTCAGCCGACGAGCCAAAGCCAAATATATAACGGATCACGGTACAACTTCAAGTTCATCTCTGCCAAGTAAGTAAGTAAGCAATTGTAAGTAAGTATAGTTCACCAACCACCAGATCTCGAAAAAAAGTTCTTATGACACTGCACCAGATGGGAAGATCAATCCAAATCCAATCCAGTCCAGCAGGGATTAGATGATTATTTCTTGCCACAACTATTTATTACTTAACTACCGCACTTTCAGGTCAAAGTTAACAAATATATATATAGCACGATAAGATAAGATGAGAAGACGACGACGACAACGCCGGCGGCGAAAATGTATGTCGACGTAGCACAACCAAACTTCGTTTTTAACCACCAATAAATACTATAAAAAACAATGTTCTTGATACTTTTATCGCAATTTTTGTCGCAATTTTTGTTTACGAAGAGACGAAGACCAAGTTTCCTTTCGTCGTTATGTTTTATACGTGGGTTGTTTGTTATTAATTAATGCAAAATTTGTGTATGTATGTATTTACATATGTATGAACCTTGCCTAGCTTATCTGTATGTATGTACGTATCGTTAAGCTTAAGTTATACATAATAATTAATTAATAATAGTACTTTGTATTTATATCGTTATGCTGGTTGTATCATAATTTCAACATTGGAACAAGTTATCATTACCAAAAGCCTGATGGCTCCAAGAAATAAAAACTGGGAAGCCAGAAGTCGTGTCTAGTTTGGAAAGACTAGTAAATTTGTTGACGCAATCCTGCATAATGGCAACTTGTTGATTCTGGAATAATTTAAGGATATGGATGGAAATTTAAGGATATGTAAATATGCAAATGTATGTATATGCAAATGTAATGTATGTATTTATGTACTCACCATTGATTCCACGGTCACACCCAACTTTTCACAGCACGTTTGAAACGAGTCGTCACTTTCTGGACTGAGATTAATAAGCAGAAAAACAATGATTCGTAATTTTGGTATTTTTAAATTTCTACAGCTTTTTTTCAAATTTTCAACTCACGTCGTAATTTTTGTATTGTAAAATTTTTAGTTTTTTTAATACTCACGTTTTTTGTACATCCCGTAAAGCCTGAACTCCGCCAAGGTAAATGGTGTTCCACATTTGGGTAGCGTTATACAACGTGACCACGTTATCATTGACCACTCTCCGAGACCCGGTCAGATTCCCGTGTTGATGTTGTGAAGGTGATTTGGCGGCATTAACTAGTAAAATAAGGATACGACAAGAGTTTATATGCAAATTTCTTTAATCTACTTTTTGCAAAGTGTCGCTTCTGCTAAAAAGCATAACCAAGTACAAACTTAGATTACATTACTATTTTTTTTACAATAATAAACAATTAACCAACGAAAGAAGAAGAAGGAAGCAAACCCTTTTAGCGATTACATAAGCAATTAAATTTGTTCATATCATCTCTTAAAAATTTTACTTACTTATTAAGCTTTTACGTCCAGGAAGTGCCATTGGTGTGGTGATGGCACGTACAAAAGATTATATTTTTGGGAACGGGTTTAACAAATAGGAAGAAAGAAATAACTGGGTTAACAATTAAGATAAGGGATGGATAGAAACACTAATAAAGATGAAGAAGATTTTTAAATTTCGACTAGTCGATGCCTTGATTCGATGTCTTGATTTTGCACCCCCTTATGAAACACCTTTCAACTTTTTAACCTCCTTGTAAACCACTTCCGTTCGAACTGTGAAACAAAGCGACATAATTAACATCATAATAATAAACTGTCACATTAGCTAATTAACTTACCGTACGGATCCCACCGGAGTTGCTCAAGCTTATCCGCGATGCGTTCCCTCTTCACGCAAACTTTATGTCTTGTCACAATACTTTCCAAAACGACGAGAACGTGTCTAATTAAAAGTACAATTAACAAAATGTCAATCTAACCAAAAATCCGTAAAAAATAAATGCAACTTACAAACTTTAAAATAGACTTACTTGGATTTCACTTTCTTGCAGAGGACGTTAGTCAACTGCATAATTGCTTCGAGGGAAGAGAATTTTGCAAGTACGGAGATTGGAATTCAAAAAAAGAAGTGAATCTTATCAATTCTCTTAGTAATTAATTGATTTCAAACAATTTTTCGATGATAACACTCCGTCCGAGAACGACGGAGAGAGAGATGTTGTCTTTTTTCCTCGGTCTTGTTGTCCGTGGTCAGTTTGGTCGTGGTCGTCGTGGTGGTGGTCGTCTTGGTCAGACCGGAAGTGACGAAACACAAAAAAATGACGAAGAAATAAATGTTAATCCTGATTCGTGTCCAGCCGCTGTGAATGAGACGAGAAGAGCACACGACTCAACACCCCGCTCCCAGCAAAGTCACTCAATTTTCCGAATTTTCCAAATATTTCCGGTACATTTCATATTTTTATTTTTATACAATTTTGAAACATAGTCACCCCACCCCCGGAAGATAAGGAATTTTGAGTGGTTTCCAATTTGCTACGACAATAAAATGTTGAATATTCTTCGCTCTCTGGGAAAAGGGGTGAGTTCTTTGAGAAATTTTGGAAAATGATGAAATAATTAATTCATTGTTAATTTAACTATTTTTTTTTTAAATTTCTGATGTAGATTGTTTCTCTAGGAAATGCCATTCCACGAACGGGAGCCGTGGCAGGATCACGGTTAAGTAGTTATCAAAGGTTCTTCTCCACTGGTTTGTAATTAATTTATAAATACAGTTTAATACCGAAGTAATTAGTCGCGTTATTATTTAATTGCACAATTATGTATCAAATTTTATCAGGAGGGGTTAACTACGTCGCCGCTGTGACGAAACCGGCCCCCCAATTTATCGGAACTGCCGTAGTAAATGGAGATTTTAAAGAATTAAAGTTGAACGATTATCATGGAAAGTATCTCGTCTTGTTCTTCTATCCGTTGGATTTGTGAGTTAATTTGCAATTAAGGATAACTATTTTACTTAACTAACTATTAACTATTTTTCCAGTACTTTTGTCTGCCCCACCGAAATCATTGCGTTCAGTGATCGAATCTCGGAATTCAAAGCGTTAAACACTGAAGTCATCGGAGTTTCGATTGACTCACACTTTTCACACTTGGCTTGGATTAATACCGATCGGAAGGTTTGTTAAGTACCAAATTGACCGAGTAAGGTCAAACACGTCCATTTATGTACGATAAGATAAGTACTTACTCGTGCAGAAAGGAGGCCTTGGAAAACTGCAATATCCGCTGTTATCTGACGTTACGAAAAACATTTCGCGAAACTACGGCGTCTTACTGGAAGATGCGGGTGTTGCTCTTCGTGGACTTTTTATAATTGATCCCAAAGGAATCGTACGGCAAATTACGATCAATGACTTGCCAGTTGGAAGGTATGTAGGATGCGTCAAACTGATTTATTCAAGTGTTAATTAAAGTCTGTGACCTTCACTAATTTAATTGTCGCCACACTTTTATCATTTATTAGATCCGTGGATGAATGTCTCCGACTCTTAAAAGCCTTCCAGTTTGTGGAAAAGCATGGAGAAGGTAGATTACTTACTACTTTAACGTAGGACTCGATGCATAATCGTCAAAATACACACATTTTTAATCATTTCTCTGCTCTGGGAATTTATTTTAATATTCTGAACGACAAATTTGTCCTCAGTGACTTGATTGATAGAATGGCCTCGAGTTCTTTAAGCAAGTTTCGACGAATTCCAATTTTTCTGAAGGCTTCCTAACCTTGAAATCTCCTTCAAAAAAGGGCAAAATCAGGAGTGTATGTTTTTAAGAAAATAGCAACTCCCTGCTCAAATTTGTCGTCCAGAATTTTAAAATAAATTCCCAGAGCGGAGAAATGATTAAAAACATGTCGATTTTTACGATTTTGGTGACAAGTTCTACGTTAATTAACCAAATTCTCTTTGCCTAAATAAATGAATGCCGTCTGACTTCTCTTACTTTTCCAGTCTGCCCAATGGATTGGACTGAGGGGAAAGCCACCATTAAAGCGGATCCCGTAAAGAGCAAGGAATATTTTGAGAAAGCCAATTAATTACGTGAATCTCAAGCAGAGTACAAAATCCTGAAATGATATTAACCAAATCTCTAATAACTCATGGAAGGTCACGGTCTCACAATGTAGATCTGCCATTTATTAGTCATAAACTATTTTAAACTCAGCTCCTAGTTTTACCACGACAAACAAATGTCACGTCATAATGTCATTACCATAAAAAAGTTCCTACGTGTTACATTCCTCTCTATTTCAAGAAAGTAGTAGTCATTAAAAATCCTGTGATTTTAACTACAAAATAAAAATATGATTTCAAATAATAACAATAAAACAATGCATGCCACTTTATTTTATTATAGCGTGAAATGAAACCCTGTTTAGCAAAGACTTTGTCCGTCCCTGCGTCCGTCTGTCTGTCCGTCAGCAGGATAACGGATCGAGATAATCGAGATTTGCTTATGGCATCATACATACGACCCCACGGGGTGGATCTTACCAACTTTTGGGGTCAATCTGACCACCCCCCTCGATGTCAGGGGGTTTAGTCACCTAATTTCTGGGGTAATTACGTGTTTCACCCTATTGTTATGCTTTTTTTGTTACTTACGGTTGATTTATTAAGGGGGAAACTTTATTAAGCGAAGAATTTGTCCGTCCATCTGTCTGTAGGAACGCATCGAGATAATTGAGATCCGTTTGCCCCATGATACATCTGACCCCAGGGGGAGGATCCTACCAACTTTTGAGGTCAAGGGGTCAAACTCTGTGGGTGTGGTCACCTAATTTTCTGCGAAATCACTGGTTTCACCCTATTGTTATATTCGTTTCGCATGCTCCGATGCATATTATTCCTCCATTTTTCCTCCCCAATGACGAACGAACTTATGAACAATGACGTGACAAATTGCGAAAAATGAGGCCATAAATACATAAATCTGCACTCCATTTATTTTCCATCCATCCATACCGGATTTTATTTATTCTCGTTTCTTCCTTTGAATTAAACTATATAATAATTTTAATGGTATGTTTCTTTCTTGGCTCACAGTTTACAAACTAATTTCTGTTTTATTAAGTTACCCTCTAAATGTTTTAGTATTTAACTATAGACAAATATTTAGTGAAATGTGGGTCATTTTATGACATAATGACGTCTAAAATATATATTTATGTGTTTTTTTTTTACATGCAACATTTTTATTAATTTCTGTACACATGCATTGTTTTACATCCTGGACTGAAATACTGATGAAAGTGAAGTTCATAAAGTGCAATTCAAGTAAAGGGTTTGATTATATACATATTTAACTTTTGTCCAGGGGGCACGGGGGGCAATAAGTTCCCTTCGGAAATATTGAATTTTTTCACCATCACCTTTGTCAATACTTGACAATTGATTTTTTTTATATTTATTATTAATTGAGACGACCACTGCAAAGGGCAGGAAGGAAATTAATTAATTAATTAATTAATTATCGGAACAATGAGCTATGTATGTATCTGATAAATAATAAATACGACTTGGTTTCATCGATTCATTTCATGTGTCAATAATCAGGTTTTGTAATTGGAAATACTGCAGGAAGTTGTATGTAAAAGTGGGGAAATTGAGACGACTTTCTCCCCATACTTACACATATGTATCTCCTTATCTTTCTGGCATGGCACGTGAGAATCGAAATACATTTAATGGATTAATAGTTTGAGGCGTCTATTTCAGATTTCCGAACATTCTTGAGTACCACTCACCCTTATTAGTTTGTAGGTATTTTTGTCTCAAAATCTCAACCTACCCCACCAGGCCAGGTGTCTACCTGTCTGTCTTTCTGTTCGTGACAGAAAAAATAAGGTCAGATTGCCTCCAGATAATAAAACCCCCGTCGTGGTGACAAGATCAGTGGCCGCGGAAGCTGTGGGGACATTAAGATTGTACTAGGATAGGGGAGGGACGGGTTTGTATAAGATGGGGAGATGATGTCGACATCGAAAAACCGTGGGGACATTGTCCCTCTGCCCCCTCACCCTTCCTTCCGCGGCCACTGATTACATGTGTGCATCTATCCATCTCTGATATCGAGAAACCTTCATGATTTTTTAACTTTGCACATGAACGGACGGAGTTCAAAGCAGATTTGTTTTTTGCATCCTGTTTTGCTGTCCTTGCTCTTTCCTTCTCGTCCCTATTCGAATTCAATCCACCGTACTTACGTAGTGGGGACTTATCAGTGGCCGCGGAACCTCATCTGGGGACATTAACATAGAGGAGGGACGAATTTATATGGATAAGATGGGCGGATGATCTAGAAATCGATCGAACAACCGTATGGGGACATTGTCCCTCTGTCCTCCAACTTCCGCGGCCACTGCGACCTACACAAGTGCTTTTCTATGTAATCTGCTGCTGGATGGTACGATTCGTATACGAATATTATATGCGCCGTAAGCAAAATAAATACCATGATGCGTACATCATGCCATTTTTTCTGCCAAGGAATGAAATGGATGGCATTTGCTGAAGTAAGCAGTTTAAATATTTGCTGTAAATCGTGTTAAAAATGTACCCTTGTTTTTTTCGTCGTGTTATTTGCATAGGTTTTTTTCTTTGTGGTTAACTTAACAACCTGAGCTGAAAATTGAACAATGATGAGGTCGTCGCGTTGTCGTCTTTTTTTTAGGGTTTGAAATGCAAGAATAAATAATTTGAAAGGTAGGATTTGATGACGAAATCGTTAAAAAATCAACACATTTTTAAGAATTTCTCCGCTCTGGGAATTTATTTTAAAGTTCTGACCGAAAAATTTGTAGAGGAGGAAGTTATAAATTTTTTAGAAATATACACTCCAGATTTTGACACTTTTTGGCGGAGGAGATCTCAAGGTTAGGGAGCCTTCAGAGAAATTTAGACTTGTTAAAACTGGCTGAAAAAACTCGACGCCATTCCATCAATCAACTCACTGAGGACAAATTTGTCGTCCAGAATTTTAAAATAAATTCCCAGAGGAGAGAAATGATTAAAAATGTGGCGATTTTGACTATTTTCGTGATAAGTCATCTTAATTTCTAGTCAGTAAGTTGATTAATGAAATTCCGCCGAGTTTTTTACTCCAGTTTCGACCAGTTCCAATTTTTCTGAAGGCTTCTTAACCTTGAGATATTAAAAAGTGTCAAAATCTGTAGTGCATATTTCTAAAAAATTTGCACCTCCCTCCTCTGCATATTTGCCGTCCAGAATTTTAAAATAAATTCCCACAGCTGAAAATTTCTTAAAAACGTACTTCTTTCGCTACCAAATCATCCCCTTAATCTTATTCCACTACTTAAAAAAGAAAGAGATGCCTCATGCCCCAAAAAACATGTAGCTAAGACATTTCCGAATGATGGTGGTGGTGGTTCAGATGTGAATGATTAATGAAAGTCGGACCACCCCCCGTCTTGAGACTGGGGGGACGTCGTCTCGGTTGTGGGGAGAGGTTAAACTTGGCCGTGAGAATGTCCAGAGTGCTCTCCTTGTTGCGAAATGGGCCCAAAAAGCGACCCCCACTCCCCCCGCCGCCGCCCTGGCTGCGACAAGAGAGTGTCGGACTTGGTCCGGTGGTGGTGCCAGAACCTCCGCCGCCCCCTCCGCCCCCGCGGGGGGAAACTGGAACACAAAGTCGGCCCCGAGTGAGGACGACGTCGTGGTCGTGAGGTGGGTGAAGGATGGTTCTGAATTGTGACCCCCACGTGTCCACATGACCGGCGGGGGTGACCGGACGAGACGGGCGTGCACCTCTTCCAGCGAGAGGGGTTCGCCGGGACGAGAGTGGGAGCTTAAATTCTCCTAAAGAGGGTTAAATAATGACCCAATTTTCAAAACCTATTGAAATTTCCGAACTAGATTCGGGGATATTTGTGAGAAGGCTTTTAAAAGTTTCAGGAAACTTTCTAAAATTTCTGGGAATATTCACAAATTATTCGAAAATTTCCAAAATTCCGGTGGGTGTGGGGGAAAATAATTTTTGGGTTACGACACGAATTACGTACCTTGGACATCAAGTTCTTCTCCTCGTACTCTGACCCGTCATCACTTTCGTTGAGACATTCCCGACTCGCGAGAACCTGTAAGATTGTTAAAATCATGTAAAAGGTCTTGTAAAAACACTAGCGAAAATGTTGGAAATTGTGCATAATTGGACAGGTTTTGCGAAATTTTTCTAGACGTTTTGCGTGAAAACGATACGATTTCTGTTTTCAAAACAACCCCGCAAAAAAAGACAAGTTTTCACTTGGAGAAATTATTTTCACAAATTTTATATTTTCTAAATTAGTAGTGTTTCGTCTCTTGCAGGCTTGGCTACATTTCTTGTACTGCAAAACAAGCAAAGCAAGAAATGGGAGGTGCAAGAACCTGGTAGAAAGTGCAAGAAACATGTGCAATTTAGCCACGCGCCGTATGAACTAGGCGTACTTTCTCCCATCTTGCATTTCTCCCAGGTCAAAATATTTCCCTGCAAGAAACCACTATCTCCCCCTTATTTCTCCCAAGTGATTACTTACTTCCACCCGAAACATTAAATTATGCACCATACGAGATAAACCGTTGACGTGAATACACCCACAAAAAAATCAAATTTCCTAAACAACTTTCCCCTTAAAACAGAACAACTACTTACCTGCAGAAAAGGATTATCTTGTCTCGATAAGCGCAGGTTTTGCATGTCTTGATCAATCGTGCGAGCATGGTATGGCGAATGGAGGGCCTCCCTCGGTTCCGGGATTATCCCCCCGTCATCCATTATCTCGCCCCCAGAGTCCCACATGTCGACATCCCCGTCGTCCGGGAGGAAAAAATTGTCCCGCTCTTCGGACGAGGAATCCGGCATTTCCCGGGTATTATTCCCCTTCCGGGAGAATATCCCGGTCAATATTTGCAACGGTTTTCGCCTCCCCCCTCCCCCTCCCCCCACGGCACCCTTGCAACTTAACGGGGACGAGTCACTCGGAGGCAGCGAACTCGCCGCGGCGGCGGCTTGAAGCATGTCGTCAATCGGCGCGACGTTAGTTGGACCACTGTCGACCATTATGAACACCATTTTGAAAAAAATAGTTAAAATTTTGAGTAGGTTTCAAAATTTGGAAGAAAATTATGCCAAAAAATTCGTCCAACTAAGATTCATTCTCACGAAATAATGTTTTTCTACACAGGGAACTGATCTCCGTACGATTTTGGATAAGTACTTATCAGCACGCTGCGAAATAATTCTTAAAACTTGATAGAAAATTGTCTCTTTTCATACATAAGAAACTGATCCATGCACGATTTTAGATAAGTACTTATCACGTTACGAAGTAATTCTTAACACTTGACAGAAAATTTTCTCTTTTCATACACAGGAAACTTTTCCTCATACAATTTTAGAGAAGTATACTTATCAAAACTTAATAATTCTCAAAACTTGAAGATAGAAAATTGTCTCAAAAAATCTGACACCTCGTCACCCCGAAATAATAAGGCTTTCCTACACAGGAAACTGATCCTTATACGATTTTAGTACGATAAGTACTTATCACGTTTCGGAATAATTCTCAAAATTTTGAACAAAATTATCTCAGAAAACGTGTCACTTTGTCACACTTCTCGCAAAGATTCACGAAATAGTAACGTTTCCACACTCCGGAAACTCATTAACTGAATGATAACTACTTATCTCTTATGCGGAAACCCAAATTTAGTTGAAACACAAATATCTGTATATTTAACTTTCCCACCATGCAGATTATCACATACAGTGAATGACTGATAAGACCATATCTCTCTCTTACCTTATTATTATTTCCTAACTCCTGACATTTGTCGCATCATCATCATCGTCCCCACACTGTTCAGTCGAGAGGTGAACAAATTGCACTGAATAACACGGAATTACTACTTTATTGTCCTCGCACACAAATTCGATAACTGACTGACTGATAACAGATTATCGGTTAATTATTTATTTGTTCTTGTAAATAATTCAGATCCTACGTAAACATAAATTATTCACGTATGTAAAATCAATACTTTTTTGCGTTTAATTCGGATTCAGGAAATTTATTTCCAATTTTACTGATTTTTTTACGGAATATTTGACTTCCTCGCTTTTTTACAAAGATTACGAAACTGCCGAACCTGCAGCAGAATCGAAAAGGCGTCGTTGCTGTTCTTACTGGCCTCGTGTGAATGAATATTGTGCAAAAAAGTAATTTGTGCAAATTGTTACTTATTTTTGCGGAGAGAAAATATGCGGCAAAAATAACTCTGTAATTTTTCTTAAGTTTTTGAGCGGAATTATGTCGTGGTACAAAAAGAAAGAAGAAATAATTTGTCAGACTTGCACCGATTTTGTATTTATCGGGAGAGTTATGTTGTTGTTAAGTTGTTTTTCGGGGCAATAAAGCCAGCAAAATCTGTCTCCATGATCGGATACATGTAGGATTTGAAGGTCCAGGAAGAAAAAAAGTGTGTATATGCATCTCTGGTGCTCTGCGGCTGCTCGAAAGTCGGTTGGGGTATGTATGCATAGGGAAGAAAGCAGGGAAAGCGATTCAGTTATTTTACCCGATTCGGGGAAAAGTCGACAATCACCGACTTTCTATGTACACTACCCGGGTGGCCTGGCTTGGCCTTCATTGTCTCCCGTGTCAGTGGAGCATCGCATCAGACTGCAGACTTTTTGTGTGATATGCATGCACACGAGGCGCCCGGTTTCTCTTAACCTTGACCATCAGATATACGGGAAGGAATGAATGAAATACGGGAATTTTCATGAATCCGAATTATATTACCCGTGTATGTATGTAGCGAAATGGGGAAAGTTTTCTTAATTTTGGGGTGATTGCGTGTAGATGTGTAAAGTTTTTGGGGATTTATGTATGTGTGGGTATAGGTAGCTAGCTGCCCTATTTGCATGGCATGTTTGGACAGAATTTAAATTTCTATGGGGATAAAAGGGTGCCATAAATGTGCTTAAGGAATTTAAAGGCATGCCCGATTTGCCCGAATTTGATGTAGGTTCCTAGAAGGGGAATCCAAAATTTCGCTTTTTTGTGATTGCAGTAAGAAGATTTAAGAGTTGTACATACGTATGATATTTATGGCGTGCCATATTTTCCCACAATTTAAATTTATGGCGGGTCCAAAATGCCCTAAATTCCTTAATACATACCTCGTATGCCGATTCCTTTGTGATTCCAGGAGATATTTAATAAGAATTGTACGTACGTATGCACACATTTAGATATTTATGGCGTGCCATATTTGCCTACAATTGAAATTTATTGCTGGCCCAAAAATGCCTAAAATTCCATTTTTATTTCTGCTTTACAGTACATTTAAGAGTTATACATATGACATTTATGGCGTGCCATATTTTCTCCCAACTTCAATTTATGGCCGGTCCCCAAAATAACCAAAATCCCTCCCATAACTCCACCCATATGCATAAAACACTCACAGAAACTTCTTTAGCCCAATAAGTAAATCCGATATTTATTCTGATTTTCTTAATTTTTTATTGGTCTCAGACATACATTGTTTTATACGTGACCATGTAATGAATTTATGGCTTGATTTCAGGATTGGATTACACTCTTTGTACCCGTACTTTTACAGTTATTTTATTACTAAATAGCACGAATTCCACTAAATATTTCTCCACAAACTAAACTAAACTTTGCACTAAATACATATGCATATTTATGTATGTATACTCCTAGCACGACACACTAACCAACTACATACTTATTAAGTAATACACGACATGACATGACATTTGAGTAGGATTTTTAACCTAGGACTGGATCCTTCACCATCAAAAAATCACCACATTTTTAAGTATTTCTCCCCTCTGGGAACTTATTTCAAAATTTTGACCGACTAATTTCTAGAGCAGGTCATTCCCAATTTTTTGAAAATATACACTCCAGATTTTTCCACTTTTTGTCGGAGGAGATCTCAAGTTTAAGAAACCTTCAGAAAAATTGGAACTCATCGAAACTCGCTTAAAAAACTCGACGCCATTCCATCAATCAACTCACTGAGGACAAATTTGTCGTTCAGAATTTTAAAATAAGTTCCCAGAGCGGAGAAATCATTAAAAATGTGTCGATCTTAACCATTTTGATGATAAGTCATCCAGTCCTACGTACGTTAATTAATTAACATTGATTAATTTTTTAAGGTGTATATCAATTCCCATTTATCAGGTAGTAATGTATCAGAGATTAAATAATAGTTCTGCACCACTATTTTTTTACACAGTATTTTAAACATTTACATATCACAACGACGACTAAGCGTGACAGAAAAATTTTCGACACGTGGATTCTCATAATTCTCTCCCTCTCACTTCTCCTAATTTCTGTGCTTATCAGCCTTTCTCATGTCTAAAAAAATGCTATGCTATGCTACACTTTTAAATTAAAATCCATCCTCTATTTTTTATCAAGTCCTGTTAAGAATAAGCATGTTTTTCTACACATAAAAAAGAAAAACTTCAGATTTTTTCCTCCTGGTAGAACGTTTTTTTTTGATAAGCTCGTATCATAAAAATATGGGGGAGTATAGCAAGAAGAATGTGCATTTTTTTTCATTTTGTGAAGAAATATATCTATTTAAACAAAAAATCTGTGTATATTTTTCCATCATACTTTTTTTTACATGGGACATTTTATGAAGAAATTTACCTATTAAAAAATTTCAGATTGGCCAAAAAACAGTCTAATTCACTCTCTTTTGTTCTAAAAATACGGGTCAAAATGAGAATTGTTTTATGAAACTGCATGAAAACCAAATATGCACAGAAATGTTTGAAAAAAGTATACGGGTTTACGTGACAGATTACATACAAATATTCGACACACATGTATATATGTACCTCTACGGGTGATTTGCATAATATTTGCATGTCAGATTTTCGCACATTCATCCAGTCATCAATTTTGATTGTTATCATTTTGTGTGTATTTTTTTTGTATGGGCGACAATGACTTGTAGATATTTATACTTAACAAGAAGACATCAATTAATTTCTTAAGATTAGATACACAAATTATTTATATATTTCTGTATCTACACATTTTTGGAAATCTGGGAAAAACTAAAATTCTAAATCTAAATCTAACTCTAAAATCACATCAATTACGTAAAGGGTCAAGTAATTAATATATATATTTTTCATTTCTCACAAATAATGTGCTCCTGGTAATTTTTTTTACCCGAAAAAAAACAATTTTAAATCTGTACAGATGTTTTGTACGCCTTGTACATTTTTATGTATAGATTTGTATCGTTTTTTTTATTCATTTCTTGCTCCGATCGACCGACGGCAGCAGAAAAAAGGGAAGAAGGGTTACATATTCCTGAGCCTTATGCAGAATTTTGAAAAAAGTGAATGATTTTACTTTAAAATTTTTCAAGTTTTTGTTCTCTACCTTGAAAAATAACGTAAACTCATTCACTTTTTTGCACAAAAGACTCAAGATTTCGACGTAATAAGTATTTTTGCATCTCGCTTTATTTATCGTGAAATTATCTTCTGACGTGACTAGAGTTGTACTTGTATGGTTGGTCATTGGCCACTGAAGCTTGAGGGGACAGAGGGGCAATGTCCCCACGGTTGTTCGATGTCCCCATCATCTCCCCATCTTATATAAACCCCTCCCTCCCCTATCCTGCAATGGCAATATCCCCCCCCCGAAGTCCCCACAGCTTCCACGGCTACTGTGCATGGTGAATTTTTCGTCCCGCATGCATGCAAATTTATGCAAATACATAAATATACAGGGGAAAATTTGTGCCAAATGGAAACCATCATCGTAGGTACAACTCTAGTCGTGTCCTTCTTATTTAACAGAAATGAACAAAGAACACGAAACAACTTTCTCTTTTACGACACGACTAAAAATATATTTGGCCACATACATACATGCTCAACCAAATAACTCGATCTTCTCTCCACACGCAGACTTTTACGTATGCATGAATAACTGCAGGTGCATAATCCAATATAAAGTAAGACGCATGTCGAGTCAGCTTTTTACGACAAAATCCGTGTGAAATAATGGAATACAAAATCGTGTTAAATAAATAAATAGCGTAACGTAACGTAACGTATAAATCCCGGGACACATCCGGTTAATAATAATTGGCTTAAATATATAACATGACATGACACGTGACCCCGGTAAATTAACAAGAATATTAAATATTTATCTCCCCTTAATAATAAATACTTTCTCTTAATTACAATTAAAATTAATTAACTAATTTGTATCACAGTTGTCTTACACACAAGTAAGAACTAAATTGAGTACATAAGTAAAAATGAGTCCAACAAGAACAAAGTAAAAATAAAAAATAGTAAAAAAAATCATGCATTGATTGACACGTGTAACAAAATTTGTAAATATTTTTGTTTATACATACAAATATTTACTCCAGTTTCTTTTTGTTTAATCAAAAGCTTCTTTGATTTTCAGCATCATTTCCTTTCATCCTTTTTCATGGAGTGGAATTGTTGGCGTCCGGAAGTAGGGAAGGGGTGGGGGGGGGACATAAGGGGACGTTAGGAGGAGGTACTTATTGACAAGTGGTACTTATATGCCACGTGTTCATTTTGGTAGGACAGAGAACGAGGAATGGATTGGTCGACACGGTCAGATTAGTCGATGCGGTCAGATTTGTCGATACGGTCAGATTGGTCGACACGGTCATATTAATAAACACGGTCAGATTGGTCGACACGGTCATATTGGTCGACCCGGTCATATTGGTCGACACGGTCATATTGGTCGACACGGTCATATAAGTAAACACGGTCAGATTGGTAATGCAGCTTGGTAACACGTGGTATTACCGAACTGAATCTTTTACCACTAGAACGCGGCAATACTTTGAAACTTTCACCTCAAAAATGGGAGAAACTTATACGATTTTTGTGGAAATATCCCCCTGTCCCTGTCTTCCGCCGCCAATGATGACTGATGACAATCTTCTCTACACAAATGTTTCTTCCTTTGTTCTCTCCCCACTTCAGATTTTATTCATTCATTTATCTCGAGTCGGATCCATCCTGTTCAGGTTCATTGTTTCCCTCGCTGTCGCCGAGTGACGAGAGGAAAATGGGGACCACTTGAGGTTGCGGCTTCTTCTCCCTTTGGCACAGGAAACAGCGACACAAAATCTTTTTGAAAGCGAAGCGAAAGTCTTTCGAGAACAGGGCGTAGATGCAGGGATTGATTGCGCTGGAAGGGGAAAAACATGACCAATTAGTTGATTGGATTTGATTTGATTGGGTGAAAGTAAGTAAATAGTTTCAGGTTTTGTTTGATGATACATTATTTTTCCCTGCGTACCTGTTACAGTAGCCGAGCCAGAAGAGGACTGAGAAGAGGAGGGGTGGGATACACGTGGCGCAGAAGGCTCGGATCACGTAGATTGTGAAGAAAGGACACCAACATCCGATAAAGCCTCCCACAATGATTCCTAAAAGGAGAGAAGAATTTTTAAGCAATTTAATAAAAATTGATGGTTTTTAAAAAGTTGTAAATTTTTCGTGGGCACGTGGTATTTTTTCGGAATTTTTTAAAAACATGATTACATAATTGAGAGTCGTGATTGTGCTGAAAAATGTATCGTCAGAGAAAGCAATTTTGCCATAAAAAACATTTTTTTTCCTGTGTAAATGCTTACATTTTGACATACAAACTTCTTCAAATTTCTCCAAATTTAAATGATTTTACGAGAAAATCGTTATCTTCACGGGACAATTACGCAGTGCTTGATAACGCGTGCGTTTCGTGTGTACCATAATGTTACAAACTTTACAAAATAAGGGGACGCCCTTGATCTGAGCAAAGTTGCAAAAATTTTTTGGGAGCTAATTTTCGTTCGAAATATGACTAAAATTTTGTAAAAGTTTAGAGAATTTCCAGATTTTACTGTTACTAAGTTCTCCGTGAATATGTTCGAACATCGATTTAACCAGAAAATTGGCTCATTTCTCGGAAGAAGAGATTTCTTTAAAATTATGTATCCACATTTTTCTTCGTAAACTTTTATGCAACTAATATCCAAGAAATTTTCTGCCTTAAACTATTTCGCAGAAAAATGTGACCCAATTTTCGCAATTCGCACTCTTCCAAGAATACATACGCTTTATTACTTACTTATCTCTTAATTTCCATCTTTACTACGCAAAAAAAAAGTTTTTCAACTGTTATATAAAACAAAATCCCGTATATTTTTTTTTACTATCCGACTTTACGTACGTTTTATTATGCAAATTATTTCGTCCGTCGGTCAGTGGGTGTGTCGAAGGCTGAATAGATATTTTGGCGAATCGACCAGTGGCCGCGGAAGCCGTGGGGACATCTGGGGACATTTACATTTTAGGATGGATATAGGGGAGGGCCGGGTTTATATAAGATGGGCAGATGATCCAACAACCCTTGTCCCTTTGTCCCTTCACCCTTCCGCGGCCACTGCTACCTAACAATTCGTGGTAAAGAAACACGAAAACCAGTCGGACGGAAGGACTATCCGTTCATTTTACCCGAGGTGAAATAATTTCTCCAGGGAATATTACCCGTATAGATGGATGGACACATAAGGTGAGCATATGTATGTACGTAGCTTCCTCTCTCGTCTCGCTCAAAATGAGACTTATTGGCTCGTCGGACAGGAAATTGGAATGGAAACAGAGAAAAGTTTTGAATTCTGGGTGTTTTCAACTTTTATGCAGGCACACGAGGGAAAAGGGTTTCGCTCCTGCCTCGTCGTCATTGCGGTCAGAAAAGCGAGCGTAGGTGGATTGGGAAGTGAAAGAGAAAGTCCGAGTCTCACATTTTCATCCGTCTCATTTAATGGCGTAGTTTACTGCGACGTTTGCGAAATATGAGCAATTTATTTTAGGAATTATGTACAAATTTGGACCCGAGTGGTGACCCGTATTTATTTTGTCACAATTTGTAGATGCATCTATAGAAATATGAAAGCTTTAGACGATGAGATGCACGGGGTGAGATGAGAAAATCTCAATTCGGATTATATTTACATTGGAAGAGTGATTTCGAACCAATAGTAATAACAACCTACTCTAAAATTATTGTTACGGATCACCTCATTCACTATCCCCATTTTCCGCGATAATGTCCCAAAGCATGCAAATGAGGTTGAGTTGACACGCCAGAATAATTCTAGAGTATGACTGATTTCGAACCAATAATAATACCTTATGTAGTATGTCATCTCATTTGCATAAATCGCACTATCCCCATTTTCCGCGATACTAAATATGCGAATTAGATGACACACCAAAATAATACTAGAGTATGCACGACACCACACCAAATAATACGATTAATATGATCATGCTCATCCGTAAAAACAATAGAATTCATTCCGTCCGACTTTCCTGGTCCCTGAGAAATTGATACCCGTTTATTCCACCCAACGTAAATACCCACGTGCCTCACGTCCCTCCCTCCCAGCTTGCTTTCGGTGTTTCTCATGATTTATTAAAATGACCCCCACCACCACCCGTCGTCTCATCCTTTCCTTACTTACTTACCCAACGTTTTGGCAGCTTTCGTCTCCATTTTAAACCGCTTAACTTGCGCTTTAATATTCCTCTTGCCCATTCTCGAGATAAGTTTGGGTTTCGTCCCGTCCTCCGCGGAGGACGAGGAGAGGATCTCGTACTTCGTCACGCCCCCCAAAGTTGGTGAGGGCGAGGGGGTCGTCGAATCAGAGTCGGCGGACTGTCGCCGTTGGCGCCGTTCAGACAGCTTTTTCTCGCGCCGACTTCCGCCACCCCCCATTTGGCAGGTGGGGCAGGGACGCAGCCCCCCGTTCGCGGAGGAGGAGGTGGACCCACCCGATGGTCCGGGAGGGTTGTTTCCGGTCCGGGCTCGGTAAGAGGCTGACCGTTTGCTGCTCCCTGAAAGAAAAAGTTTGGAGAATAAATACATAAGAAGAAGGAGATCAGAACGTGCCTGGGATTTAAGGACAGTCCCAGAAGTGGGCTTGAGAAGGGGGAAAGAGTTACACATTTTGGGACAGAGGCCGAGGAATGGGAGGTGGAGACAATAATCGTCTCGGAATAAAAACTATATGCAGGAAACTACTGCGAGAAATGTTGGTTTTAGGGGCATTAATTTCTTGCAAAAGTTAAAGAAATAAGCGCCATCTAGTGGATAATCTGTATAATTAAGTACTCCCCTAATCCACCATAATAGTGTACGCAGGGAAATCAGTGAATAAAAACCACCTGCAAGAAATGTGGTTTTAGCAGGCAGAATTTCTTGCATTAACATTTCTTGCGAAATAAATGCACGAAATAAGCGCCATCTTGCAGAAATCCGAATAATTAAGTGTACCCTAAAGTGTAATCCGCCAGGTGGCGCGTATTTCTTACATTCCTTATTTTTTTCTAGTTCGGTGCACGAAACGTGAAAAAGTGTGAGAAATCAAAACCCACAGAATTTTTTCATCCTATCAAACTCCTTACTCAAAATTTCGTCCCTCTCCGTTCCGCAGCCTATGTCCATCCTCCCGAACATTTGCCAGTTTCCGGTCTATTTTCGGAGAGAAGAGAGGAGGAAAGTTATGCCGTTATCGGCATTAGGAAAAGTTGGAATTAGGAGGTTATCTACCCATCCATGGTTTCTCCCTCAAACTGCCTCCACACTTTATGACTGCATTTTGATCCAATTCCTCTCCAACCACGAACACGACGCAACTTTCCCCTTAACCTAACCACACGCAACAGTGGCCGCGCAAGCCGTGGGGACATTAACATTGTAGGATAGGGACCAGGGGGTTTATATAATATGAACAGATGATAGGGACATTTGAGGCATACCTGTTCAAAAAACCCTTTTTTCATTCAAACTTCAGTCATCCCTCTTTCTTACTGAAGATTTTCATTCACATTCAGCAATTTTCTTTCAAACTCATTTCATTTCACTTCATCTGACGTCATTTCTTACTTCGCCCATGTATTAAGCATAGGGTGAAAAATGAAAGCAGTGAGAAATCCTTTCATTCACAGTCACTCATCTGAAATTGCTGAATTTTTCACCCATTTTCATTCAAATCATAGGAAGTTTATTCTCATTCACTTCATTCTCCATCATAATCAGTCATATGAATGAAAGTGAACAGGTATGATCTGAGGGCATTAACATTGCAGGATAGGGGAGGGAGGGTTTAGTAACATGGGGAGATGATGGGGACATCTCATAACCGTGGGGACATTTCACCCGCTCTGTCCCCTCACCCTTCCTTCCGCGGGCACTGCGACGCAATGAAAAGTATCCAACTTTCCTCCGCCTGACTTCTTTTTTTAAGGGTAAGTACTATTATTATAGGGCGACGGAAAGTTATGAATGTGAATTACGCGAGGATATGAAAGTCTCTCGTCGCGTCGCGGCCGGCAGTCGGGGCAGGCGATGCGATGCAGACATGATTACGCTCATGACGCCGAGGATGCGATGAGACGAGATGAGCTGCATTTGTTATGGGATTCATGCCAAATATGGAGGAACGTGGCAAGCTAAGCGTGCCACTCCAAAAAAGCAGGGTTTCCGACGCAATTACATAACCACTTGCAAGAAATAACTGGAAGAAAGTCGTTTTTTACAGGTCAATATTTCGACCGAGGAGAAATGCAAGGCGGGAGAAACTACGATACGGTGCGATAAATTAAGGTCCTATTGCATGAGGTCTTTGAATTTAAATTTTCATGTCTCAACTTTCCCTTCTTGTAAGGTGTTCATCTCCGTGCGTTTTTTGTACGTTATCTATTTTAGATGCCATAAAATCTTCATTTAAAAGAAACACATGGACACGTTTCAAAGTCGCCATTTAAACATATGCAACAAGGGAAAGTTGAGACAAAATTTAACTTCAAAACGTGCATACAATAGACCCTTAAGACTTCATGCGGCGCGTGGCTAGATGGCGCATAACCTAACGTTCTTGCAGTCTAGGGGATGGATATTTCTTACGGTTTCTTGCACCCTGGGTTTCTTGTCCCTTGCAAGAAATGTAGCAAACCCGATAAAACCAAAACCCTTGCAAACCCCGAAAACATGGCGTTTCTCTCTCTCCATCCCATTATTATCTCGTTACGAAATGCAACACATTTTCCGCCTGCTTTCACTCCCTGCAGAAATATGTCTGCACATTACGACCGAGATTTCCACCCTGGAATAAATGACTTTGGTCCGCCACCCACCCACACAGTGGACAAGGCGATGGCGGTGGTCAGTGGCCGCGCAACCCGTGGGGACATGGGGGGACGTTAAACTTGTATGATATGCGAGTTCCGGCTTCATATAAGATGGGCAATGATAGGAACATTGAACAACCGTGGGGACATTGCCCCTTTGTCCCAACCCTTCCGCGGGCACTGTATCATGTTCATACTTTTGAGTCGCCTGAATTCTGACAGTGTCCGCGGAAGCCGTGGGGACATCGGGGGACATTAAAAATTGTATGATATGTGAGTTCATGCTTTATATTTATAAGATAGGCAGATGATGCCGACATCTCTCAACCCTGGGGACATTGTCCCCCTGTCCCCACACCCTTCCTTCTGCGGCCCCTGATTCTGATGACATTACAGCGCTAGCTTTCTCTCCCCACCACAAAAAATATAAATCAGAAAACTTCTCCAACCCGCAGATTGTTCCGTGACAGAGTTTGGAGAGAGACTTGTCAATTTTTCAATTCCATTCCGGGGGGTCAAACTTTCCAAGGTTTGTTAAAAAATGGAAATTTTTGGCGGAATATATTTGCAAAAAAGTGAGTAAGTAAGTAAGGAAGAAATATTTAGAAAGTTGGAATTTCCACTTTTTTGCAGGTGTGACAAAAAATTGGGCAGGGTTTCGCTTCGGGGTGAAAGTAAGGACTTTGCTAGAAATAACGGGGAGAAAGTGGTTTATTTTGACCTGGGAGAAATGCAAAGTACGAGAGACTACCACACCTGTTCACCTTCATTCATTTGACTGATTATTATGATATGACTGATATGACTGATCATGATACTGAATGAAAATGAAATTCTCATTTGAATGAAAATGACTGAAGGATTCCCTCATTTCAGATGAATTATTGTGAATGAAAGGACTTTCATTTTTCACCCTATGCTTAGCACATGAGGCTAATTAAGAAATGAAGGCCGATGAAGTGAAATCAAATGAATATGAGTGACAAACTTCACGCAGAAATCGGGATGACTGAATTTTGAATGACAACTAAATTTTTGAACAGGTACGGAGATTACGTCCCGACGTAAATACGTAAATACTTCATACAGCGAGTGGTTAAATGGGGCATATTTCTTGCACTTTCTCCCACTTTCTTGCATTTCCTCCTCTCCATTGCAAGAAATGTATGTAACAAACCCGTCAGAACCGACTTAGAAATGCTGAAATCATGCCAAAATCCTAATGTCATCTTGATCTACACACTTCTGAGAAGATGGAGGACCCGATTTTTATCTCACTTTAGCTTTTGTCAGGTGTAAAAGAACAAAACAAGTCAGGATTTCCTGAAAGCATTTGCAGTGGCTGGGGGACATGTGTGGACATTATCATTATGGGATAAACTTATTAACATGGGGAACATATAATTTCTGCCCTCTGTCCCCCTTGCTTCCGCCGCCCCTAAAAATTCCTACATATTTACCGCTTTTGTCAGGTGTAAAAACAAAAAAAAAGCTTGAAAGATTTCCTGAAAGCATACGCAGTGGCGACGGAAGTTGATGTGGGGACAAAAACATTGGGGGATACACTTATTAATATGGGGAATACATAATCTTTCCGATGTTCCCCCTGTCCCCCCGCGCTTCCGCGGCCCCTGAAAACCTTCCCACACATTTACCTCGAGGTGGCGGAGTCAGGTGCACTTTAAGCCGTTCGTGAGATCTGCTTCGAGGGATGCGGGACAACGCGGAGGAGGAAGATGCCGATCCACCACCACCCGCGTTCCCATTTCCATTGTTGCCGCCGGGGGTGCCACCATTGTTGTGAAGTTGTTGCTGCTGCTGCTGCTGCTGCTGCTGCCTCCCATTGCTGGGGGATGAGATCATAGGTTTGGGGGAGGAGGGGCAGTGGTGATGATGGTGGTGGTGGTGCTGGGCTGAACGGCTCGTCCCCCGGTGGATCCGCAGGGTGAGACGCTGCTCTTCAAAACGCGTCCCCAACAGACGGGAACCTTTTGTAGTTCGGAAACCTGGAAAAAAATGAAAAATAGGAAATGACTCGAGAAAAAAATTATGAGGGGATGTCCGATGAAGCGATTCGGGGGAATGTTTGCTAAAACATGCGTAATTCATTGGTCAAATTGTGATTTGACAAATTGATATGATTTGATTTGATTTAATTTGATTTGATAAATGATTTGTGCATTTATTTGCACAAAATGTGCCCAGTTTTGCCAGAAGTTGGCAAAATGTATGATCGCAATTCACGCTAACTTTGTAAAATCCGTAAACCTACAAACTCTTAATGAGTAAACCCGAGGCATTGATCGTGAGTCCTACGAATGGCTACGAAACTACAGGTTTTGTGAAGAAATTTACTTTTCATTTGTGTCAAAATATTGTTTTTTATCAAGAAAACAACGAAGCAATGCACGCAGGCCTTGGAAAGCCCGAAGGAAAATTGGCTCACAAATTTTTGTAAACTTTCCCAGATCAAGGGCGGCATCTCCTTAGTTTGTAAAACCAGGGCACAAAATGCACTGATTTTACTAAGTTGGCAATGACTGCGTAACGAATTTCCATACTCTGAGAGTAGTACTCTCAAAATAGAGTAGCTAGTGAGAGCTCGGTTCTTCCCAAGGTTTTGATTTCTGGGGTTGTTTCACCCACAAAAAGGCGAGAATCCACGTGGAGAAAGCAACAGTCATACGAAAATTCAGGTTTTGTCAAGAAATTAACTTTTACGCCATCAATTTTCATGATTAAAACGTATTTTGAGACCAATAAAAAGTTAATTTCTCCACAAAACCCGTATTTCATGCGACTGTTGCTTTCTCCACTTGGATTTCAACTTTTTTTGGCAGTTATAACACCCCCGGCAAGCACATAGCTCCAAATAGGGTATATTTCTGTATGATTTCTACCCAATATATTACCCCCCCCCCCAGAATTACACGATGCCTTTCCACACAAACATGGCAGGCATAATTAATTAGGAAAACTTTGCAAATTCCTCTCGATACCTTGATTAATTGCCCTGGTGGTTTCCACGGCCGCCTTGTAAATCCTCCAGTAGAAGAACAGCATGACGAACATGGGGAGGAAGAAGGAGCCGAACGCCGAGTAGAGGACGTAACCCTGTTCGAAAACATTTCTAATTAGTTCCCATGCACATCCGCTTCCGTAATTAATGCCACGAATTAGAAATCAATTAGTGGGAGACCAATCTGAGATTATTATTTGGTGAGGGAACTCGACTGTTGAATAGATTTGGACAAAAAAGTCGATGAATAGCGAGGAGATCAGTGACCGCGGAAGGGGTGGGGACATGGGGGGACAGTAGAGGAGGAGGGAGGGGTTTATATAAGATGAGGACATCTATAACCGTGGGGACAATGTCCCCTCAAGCTTCCAAGGCCACTTATGGAAAATGCTGATTTATAAGATTATGACAATCAGTGGCCGCGGAAGCCGGGAGGATATGGGGGACATTAGGATTGTAGGTAAGGTTTATATAAGATGGGACATCGAACAACCGTGGGAACATTGTCCTTTTGTCCCCACGCCTCCGCGGCCACTTATAAAAAGAGTAGATTTATTAAATTATGACAACTAGTGGCCGCGGAAGCTGTAAGGGGACATCGGGGGACGTTAACATAGTGGGATGGGGGGGATGGACGGGTTTATATAAGGTTAACAGATAATGGGGACATTGAACTATCGTGGGGACATTGTCCCTCTGTCCCCTCACCCTTCCGCGGCCACTATTGACGGCAACACTATTGAAGTTGAGCGTGCTTAAATTCCGGTCCGTAAATAACTTTCTCTCCTTCATTATTGGGGAAATCATGTCAATATTTTGCCCACCTAATCCATCATCACGTGCTAAATATGTAGATATTTTCCACCTTAATGCGACTCCTTTCCGCTCACTCACTCACTCACTCACTTTGGCGTCGAACGCTTTCTTTTTTATTAAATAAACCCAACCGAAAACGAATGTAGCAAAGGAGTGAAACCAAATCCGTCCCGTCCGTGTAACACCATCAAAAAAAATTTAGACATTCTTGACCTCGTGATCTTAGAACTTAACTCCTCCCAAACAAAATCAGAAACGACTGTATCAATTTCTGCAGTAATTGACAAAACCTGGATGCATACTTTGTTCTGCTTAATTTGTTTTCACATAATCATGCAGAAAAGTTCTATGGATTTTATTCTAAGGTAGAACTGCATTTGCAAAATTCTGCATAATTTTCTGCAAAAATCAGTGTGCATAAAATATTCCGTCAGAAAATTGGGCCAAATTTCTACAAAAAACCCGTTCAAATTTTTCCTCGAGGCCGAATCCCAAAATAAAAAATCTATCATGGATATATTAGGACAGACAGATGAACGAACGGACGGACAAAGCATTCCCATAAAGTGGTATCACCCCTTAATAAACTGGCAACTCTTTGTCATCTTTCCTCCCAACATTGTGAAGGGTGATGAATTCCTGTTCTTTCAAAAGTCGTCTGCCACCCACGAGCTGGGGCAGGATGGCGAAAAGTATATCATCTTTTCACGATTATTATCATCTCCTTCCTTCCCGTCATTCAGCCCGTCGCTCGTCGAGGAGGAGCCCGTTCACAAAGGAAATTTGGTCTCTCTACCTGCTAACAAATTGCACAAAGTGAAGCAATGAATGATGGATGGATGGATGGATGTGTCGCAAATGTGTCAAATAATAATCACCACACAGCGGCACTATTACATTCCGACTAGGGTTTCGGGTGAAAGTAAGGAACCACTTGCAAGAAATGACGGGAGAAAGTGGTTTCTTGCAGGTGAATATTTTGACCTGGGAGAAATGCACGGTGGGAGAAACTACGCCCCGCCGATGTAAATAGTTCATACGGCACGTGGCTAAATGACGTTTATTTCTTGCACTTTCTCCCACTTTCTTGCAGTTTTTTGCGTTTCTGCCTTCGTAGTGCAAGAAATGTGTGCAAACCCGCAAGAAAGGAAACCCAGAAAGTACCCAGTTGCAAGAAATAACGGTAAGAAAGCGTTTTTTGTAAGTTATTTTGACCTGCAAGAAATGCCAAAAGTGCAAAAAACTCCTTCCCGCCCCTATTTCCTCATAGGGCGCGTTTCTAGAGTGTAATATATATATTCAACATATTTCATACATATTTCTTGCAGTTTGTTGCACTTTCTACCACTTGCTTGCAATTTCTTACAGTTTTTTCTAGACTTTTCTTGAGTTTCTTGAGTTTCTAGACTTCTCTCAAGTTTCTAGACTTTTCTTGCACCTCGCATTTCTCCCATTTCTCGCTTTCCATTGCAACAAAGTAGCCCACCCGCCCGAAACTGCACCCTGGTTACCCACCTACGTCCTATTTATCGCCTATTTATCCTACCCATGGAAGAAGAAAAAAGTGCTGGATTTCTTTACTTTGTAGGGAAAGAAATGCATGCATACATGTATTTAATCTCTCCTCAAGAAATTGATTGTCCCCATATTTACACAGAGAGGGAGGAAAAACGTTATCTCGTCACTTATCTACGATACCTTATCGTTGGTGAGTTCGCACGTGTAGGTGCATTCCTCCTCGTAGTACATGGATTCTGGTTCGGCGGGTGTGGAGGAGGGCTCATTGTTGTCGGAGAGGATCCAATTTGAGGAGGAATCCATATCTGCGCCAGAATCGGCCTCGTCCACCGTGCTGTCAAAGGTGGGCAGGGTAGTCGTCAAATTGGCTAATTGGCGAAAATAGGTTCGCTTTCGGTCGTTCCAGCCCACCTGGAGGAGGAAAAAAAGAAATGAGGCAAAGTGAGAATAGCTTTGATGCGTGTGACTTTGTTGTGGGCAGGGTTCGGAAAACCCCGGGGTTTTTGTAGAAAAACCCAACCCCGTGGGTTTTTCCGGGGTTTTTGGGGTTTTTGTGGGTTTTTGGGTTTTTGTGGGTTTTTGTGGGTTTTTGTAGATTTTGGGGCAGGTTGAACCAGAATTTCTAAAATTATTTATTAGAGAAAAACTAATTTAATATACAATTTTAACATGCAATTTTAACCGTTATCATTGATTTGGACTGTTACATCCAAAATTCATGTTTGACATGTAAACCTGGAAATATGCTATGATTTTTGGAAATTCAAGTCGCAAATGAAAATTCTCAAAATTTCAAGATGAAGCAGAAAAGTTAATTAGCATTGATCTACGTAGTAGTTTAAGGGATTTTATTTCAATCTGCCTCAAAATCCTACAAAAACCCCGGAAAAACCCACAAAAACCCACAAAAACCCGCAAAAACCCCATTAAGCATTAGGGTTTTTCCGGAGATTTGATACCCCAAAAACCCACAAAAACCCCAAAAACCCCAACCCACAAAAACCCGGGGTAGCGAACCCTGGTTGTGGGTGGTGTCAATTTGCAATTTGTTTAGATTTTTAAATGGGTTTTTGCCCTGTTTCTGACTATGAGTCGTGTCAGTCTCAATTTGCAATTTCGTTTCTGATTTTTTAAATGGATTTTTGCCTTGTTTTTAACGGTATTAGTCTCAATTTGCATTTTGTTCAGATTTTTTATGGGTTTTTGCTTTGTTTCTGAATCGTAGTAGTCTCAATTTGCAATTTTTCAGACTTTTTTGATAGATTTTTGCCTTTTTCAGTCATATCAGTCTCAATTTGAAATTTTTTGTCTGATTTTTTTTTACGGATTTTTGCCTTGTTTTTAACGGTATTAGTCTCAATTTGCATTTTGTTCAGATTTTTTTATGGATTTTTCCCTTCTTTCTGAATCGTATCAGTCACATTTTAAAATCTGGCAGGTTTTTTTGATAGATTTTTTGTCTTGTTTCTGATTCGTATCAGTCTCAATTTGCAATTTTTTTGAAAATTTTTTTGCATGGATTTTTGTAAACTTGCTCAGCTTATTTCTAGTATCCCAGAAACCAAACAAAATTCCCTGAAAAACCTTACCAACGGGGGGAAGCAGATGAGAAAGCTGAGAACCCAGACACAGCCGATGAGGAGTTTCGCCTTGCTCGAGGACATAATACTCGGATACGTCACCGGCCTCGTCACAGCCACGTAGCGATCCAAACTGCAAGCAAAGAAAAGTCACAAATGGATCACTTTCTTTCCACATTTATCAAATCAAGCATCACTTAAACGTATGCACTTCAACCCGGATTAAATTAAATCTTTGTCTTCACGTCATATCCGATCTGGAGAAAGTTTCGAGATTATTTACATTCAAATTATCCATTAGAAATCCTTCATTCATGATGAATCGGATATAATTTCTTAAGCTGGAAAAATATCAGGGATGGGCAAAATACTGAGGAAAAATGGGAAGTTAATCTCGGTTCTAAAGGCAGAAGTCCTACGAAAATACAGGGTTTGCGAAGAAATTAACTCTTTTTATTTTTGTTAAAATGCCTTACTTATAAAAAATCATGAAAACAACGAGACAATTCACGCAGGCCTTCGTAACATCATAAAATCCGTAAAATCCTTAACTTACTCATATTTCGAAGGTAAATTAGCTTACAAATTTTTGTAAACTTCATTAGATCAAGGGAGGCATCTCTTTATCTTAACTTTATTAAATTATGGTATAAAAACACAGTTTTTACAAAGTTACAACTGACTGCATAAATTTCCTCCGTATTTTCACCATTTTCTAAAAATAATATATTTCGACGGAGGTAAAATGTAAATTTCGTCGTAAATTTCTACTTTTGTATAAGTAGATTCTGGTCATTGTGTGGCTGTGACAGCCCCGGAAATCCAAACCCTTGGAAGAACGGAGCTCAAAATACTGTATTTTATGACACCGTCTTTTGCCCATCCCTGCTGGAAACCGTATAATCCGACAAGATTGATCATGGAATGTCTAATTTTAAGTAAACAAGAGGAAAAAGGATCAAATTTATCATGATGCCAATTCAACAGAGAGAAAAAACAAGAAGGTTTTTTTCTTTTCGTTTAAATGAGCAACGGATGACAGATCCGTTTCCTAATTTGAGATGAGTGCAGGAGAAGAAGAAAAAAGTGTAGAATTTCACGAAATGGAAAAACATTTGGGAAACTAATTGAAAAAGAAGTAGTCCGGGTTAAGACTCCGGATTTAATTTGGAGGATTTTTTTCTCCCTGCTGAAAAACAATGGAGAAATTATATGTAGTATTTTTTTGTTTTATTTTCTATCTTGATTATATTTTATGGGGATATTCGGTATTTTTAAAAAAGCACCTACAAGAATTTGGGATTTTTTACAGGAGTGAAAAGATGTGCAAAAAATAAGCCATCTTTCTTTCATTTTTCGCCATTTTTCTCCACGCCATTAATACGACTCGTTCATTCATATATAAATAGCACTTGTTCTCTGTTCACTTACCTTATCGCGCACAAATTCAGAATGGACGCCGTGCACAACCAGACATCCACCGCGAGCCACACAGAGCACCAAACTTCGCCAAAAATCCAAATTTCGAAGATTTCCCAGGTCGCGGAAAACGGAAGCACGGCAATCCCCACCATCAAATCCGCCACGGCGAGAGACACTGAAAAAGTACACAAATTTCATTTACATTTCCAAAACAGTTTTTCGTTTTGGAATGTCCAAAAGCCTTCAAAACTGTACAAAATAATTTTGGACGTCCAACATCGTCCAACATTGAAAAACGGGGTAAAATTTTGTAAGCTCTTCTTTTTTTGCAAATCTATGTGTAGTCTTCCATTTTTTCATTCATTTCGAGCATTTTGGTAATACCACAATATTTGAAAATACTTTTATTTTCATATATATTCTTTGGAGAAATTTTCTAATTAAAATCAAAATTTTGAAGGGCAAACTGCTCAAAATTAATAGTTACACGTTAACGGATTCTGTAATGAAGAACTTGTAACCCTATTTTGGTCACATTTGGACATTTCGGACGTCCAAAATTCGGTGTCCAACATTTGTTTAAAACTACAGTGAAAGCCTGCTTGCAAAAATTCAAAATTTCTTTCATAATTTCCTCACCGATGAAAAGATTCGTCACCGTGCGTAACTTCGTACTGATGAAGACGGCCGCAATGACGAGACAGTTGCCCACGATGACGGCCACATTGATGAAGGCGAGGATAACGAGGGAAATCAGCACTTTGGCGTCCTTCCATTTCACCACGTCGAAGATTTCGTCACACGAGACGTTCAAATAGTTGACGTTGACTTCGTCCGTCTTCATGGTCACGGGCGATCGTACTGGACAATCTCAATCATATCGAAAGCATCGCCATGATGATGTCACGTGGGTAAAAAAAATTCATCCCATGGTCACTTTTTTAAAAACTCCTGAGTGATGATGACGGACGTGGCCAAACGTAAGTTCCGGTCAGGGTATAAGTTTCCTGGAAATAAATAAAACAGAAAACAGGCCAACTTTTTAGTTTTGTTGGTGAGGATATTTTACGAATTTTATTTTAAAAGGGTATAAACATCGGTGGCAGTGTGCCGGGTGCAGGTAATCGGGTGGAAGAGAAAGGACGGAGAGGAGAAAGTGGTTTCTTGCTGGGGAATATTTTTGACGTAGGAGAAATGCAAGGTGGGAAAAATTAAGCCCTGTCGCAGTAAATAGTTCGTATGAATCGTGGCTAAATGACGCCTATTTTTACCACTTTCTTGCACCTCTCATTTTTTTGCTTTTCTTGCCTTTGCCCTGCAAGAAATGTAGCAAATTCTTAAGAAACTCGACCTTTTCCACATTTCTTGCAGTGCACTACAAAAACTCCGCTCCACCTAACGGATCACCCTCTGTACTACATTGAATTATAGGGATTGCCCGCTAGATAGCCCTGTTTTTGCAGGTATGACAAAAAATTGGCATCAGGGTTTCTTTTCGGGTGAAAGTAACGACTTGGTAGAAATAACGGGGAGAAAGTGGTTTCTTGCAGGAGAATATTTTGGAGAATATTTTGACCTGGGAGAAATGCACGGTGCAAGAAATTACGCGGTAAATGGTTCATACAGAGCGTGGCTAGATGGCGCATATTTATCGCACCCAGTTTCGTGCACCTCGCATTTCTTGCATTACTTGATTTACCCTGCAAGATATCTAGCATTTTCTACATGTAGCAAAACCTGCCAAAAACGCCACCCTGCACATCCGTTCCGAGCAGTAACTGCTTACACAGCATTACATCCAGTGGCAGAAAGATTTCTCGTTTTCCTGCCTCTTTTCGTACTTGTTTTCAAGTTTTTGCAATAATTCATGAAAACGCGGAGGAGAAAGTGGTCGGTGGGTTGCGAAAAGTGGGAGCGAGCGATAAAATGAAAGTTATTTATTGGCGAGGAATTGCATGACCTGGGCGAGCGGAGAAATATCTGAACTCATGTCGGACATGGATGTGAAAGTAAAATAGGGGTTTCGGTCGGATCGCATGTCTTTCCCCACTTGTGATCAGGTCCAGTTCGTCCGAACCTAAGTATGACTTTCTCTTTCTGGCAGGGGTTCGGTTTTTGCTAATTTCTTGTAGTGCAAATCTCCCGGGTTTTCTACATTTCTTGCAGTGCAAATCTCCCCGATTTATTATATTTCTTGCAGTGCAAATCTTCCGAGTTTTTAACATTTCTTGCAGTGCAAAGCAAACAACGCAAGAAATGCGAGGTGCCATAATGTGCAAAAAATAAGCGCCATCTAGCCATGCGCAGTAAAAAGCACACCTGCGGGTCATACTTTCTCCCACCTTGCATTTCTCCCAGCTCAAAATATTCCCCTCCCAAGAAACCATTATCTTCTCCCCCCTTATTTCTTGTCACTAGTGGTCTTACTTTCACCCACCCGAGACCCTACTTTCTCCCCGAATGTGCCCACTTTGCTTCCGACCACGACGACGACTACTTATCTATAATTAAAGATTAGACTAATAATAAATCTCTGCACGAGGTATATTTCTTTCTTTCTCGGGCAGTTTAGCCATGCAAAGTAGGCGAAAAGGAGGGGAATCTGACGGAATTTCTTGAAAGGGAGAAAGTATCGAGTTTTTCCTTGTTCTCCGAGTTCTCTCAAGCACGCACAACCACCACGGAATCGGCAGTGGCCGCGGAACATTTAGGGGACAATGTCCCCGCGCTTGTTCGATGTCCACATAATCTCCCCATCTTATATAAACCCTACTTTTCCTCTTATCAAGAAATGTAAACGTCCCCCCCATGTCCCCCACGGCTTCCGCGGCCACTGTCATCACGACTTGGTCCACCACGACCACCAACTTTTTGTCGTGTCGTCACAGCGAGTAGAGACGTGGGGACGAGACACCCACACAAAAAAGAAGAAGGAGAAAGTTGACGACGATTTGCCGACCTTGTTACTTGTCCGACATGGAGAAAGTGGTGTAATAGAGTTGTAAGTATGAAATAAATATGGGGCAGATTGTGCATTTGGAAATTGTAATACTAGTCCTATTTTCACGGCATAAATTAAAATGACATGCCACAAATGACTAAATAAGTACATACTGTCAAATTTTTATGGCCGTTCACCCCATTTGCATATTGGAACGCATCGCGAGAGACATACAGTTTATTCTACATGGAAAGCACATACGGCCAAAAATGGGCATACTGAGATTTATGCAAATGAGGTGATACGCCTACGTAAGAGGACAGTATGACTAAATAGTGACCAGATTAAAAACGCTGATTTAGCCAGTGTTTCGTTTCTGACGGGATTGTCACATTTCTTGCAGGGCAAAGTAAGAAATGCAACGAATGCAGAATGCAAGAAACTGGGAGAAAGTGCATGAAATATGCGCTTTCTAGCCACCTTCCGTACGAACTATTTACCACGGCGGGGCGTACTTTCTCCCGCCTTGAATTTCTCCCAGATGAAAAAATATCCCCCTGCAAGAAACCACTTCTTCCCCGTCGTTTCTAGCACGCGAACCACTAGATTTATGTTTAGCTGACGCTTTAAACTCACGCGACCTTAGGAAGTGAAAGCGTCAATATTGTGATGCCCGGGTAGTAAAAGAGTGGACGTACTGGGCACCACCACCACCACGACGAGGAGGATGGCTTGACCAGTGGCCATTAGGGTAGTTGGTCGATTGCCCATTTACTTTCTCTCATCCGAGCGAAATAAATAATCCTGCCAGTAAAAAGCTTTCTCTCCGAAATTGAATGTGATTGATAATTCTGGAACAACGAGGTGTGTGGTGGTGATTTGCGGGAAAACTCATTAAATGATGCTCCTCCACGACGACCAGCTTTATACTCATGTATCCATCTTGCTCAGCCACTGACCCAGTGGCCGCGGAAGGAAGGGCGGGGACAGAGGGGACAATGTCCCCACGGTTGTTGGCATCATCTGACCATCTGATGTAAACCCGTTCCTCCCCAATCCTACAATGTTAATGTCCCCAGATTTCCCCACAGTTATTAAATGTCCCCCATGGTTATTAGATGTCCCCATAATCTCCCCATGTTATAAACCCCTCCTTTCTATCCTACAATGTTAATGCCCCCAGAAGTCCTCATGGTTATTAAATGTCCCCCACGGGTATTAGATGTCCTCATAATCTGCCCATCTTATATGTACAAAACCGTCCCTCCCCTTATCCTGAAACGTTAATGTCCCCCAATGTCCCCACGGCATCCGTCCGCGGCCACTGCGCCCCCACTACTGACCGACTAACTGACTATTTTACCACCAGCACGACGGCCACGCCAAGTTTTTCCTCGCTCTCTCGCAATGCAATCAAGTTCAATAAGAGGAACAAATCCGAAAAGCCGACTGGGGATTTTCCCTGACTTGGACACTCTCACTCCACTCGGTCACCTTGACCAGCTCCTCACCCCGCTACCAAAATAAGGCCAAGACTTTCGCTAACTTCCCGACCCACGGGGAAGTAAGTAAGTAACGCATTACAGGTGGATTTGAGACTTGACATGGATAAATAATTTCAGGAACGATATAGGGGGCAAAGTGAGACGGGATTTTTGATACATCGTTTAAATTATTGCACTTTTCATCATTTCTTGCACCTTGTCCACATTTCATGCATCTTTTCCACGTTTTGTGCACCTTTTCCACAATTTGTGTACCTTTTCCACATTTCTTGCACCTTTTCCACAATTTGCGTACCTTTTCGTTATTTTGTGCACCTTTGTCACATTTCATGCATTTTCCCACATTTTGTGCACCTTTTTACACATTTCTTGCAATTCGCTGCAAGAAATACGGGCCACCCTTTGCACTAGACTTCCGCCAGATGGCGGTTATTTATTGCACTCCTGCATGAAATTACGCCTACAATAAACATAGTTTCTTGCAGTACCTTCTTTCTTAATAGAAATATATTATCCTGGTGCTACATAAGTTATTTACGCTATTAAAAAAGGGGGCATCTTGATACCCCAGTCATGTTCCTTGGGTTATGTATGTATATGTACGTATCTATCTACTTAACATTTCCATCTACAATTTTTTATCCCCGGCGCCACCACTAACTAACGAAGCTGGAATGATGAAAATCCCGAAAACAGGATCCTCCTCCTCCCACTTTGATTTATCCTTCTTCAACGAGGAGACAGCAGGCACAAACATTTTACATAACGACACTTAAGCCACTTATTTACTTGGCTCTACCCAATTATGGGGCACATTCCACATTTTTTTTGTTTTCTCATTCCCGCCGCGTGTCCACCCCAGTGGCCGCGGAAGGACGGGGGGACAATGTCCCCACGCTTGTTCGATATCCGCATCGTCTCCCCATCTTATATAAACCCGACCTTCCCCCTAAAATCCTACAATGTTAACGTCCCCCGATGTCCCCACACCTTGCGCGGGCACTGGCCCACCCTTAAATTAAAAGTGGCCGAGTGTTACGTTAAAAAACAAGGAGATGGACTAGATAATGAGAGAAAATACAAGATTCCCAGATACGTGACGACACGACAAGTCAAGACAGACCAGCCGAGCTTATTATTCCGTCCTCGCTGAGAGAGAGAGAGAAAGTCGGAGAAAGTTGAGACAGACGGACGGAGCCAGCTCAGTCTCACCAGAGACGAGTCATGAAAGGCTAAATTTTACCAGTCTCGATCTCCTCCTTGAATGCGATACACTCTGAATAATCCGACACCGAAATTTTGCACCGGGTAACATTTTAAGGTGCCATTGCATACGGGTTTTAACTTTTACTAAATTTTCGAATAAAAACTAAATTATTTTACAAAATTTAAAACAAAAAGGCTCATTTTTGTGTCTCAACTTTCCCTTCTTCAACGTATTCAAATAGCGATTTTGAAACATATTCATCTCCATCATTCATTCATTCATATTCAAAACCTGTATGCAATGCCACCTTAACGTTGGCTCGATGACTCTTCAGCAAACTGAACACATTTTCAATCATTTCTCGCCACTGGGAATTTACTTCAAAATTCTGGACGACAAATTTGTGGAACAGAGAGTTCCCAATTTTTTGAAAATATACACTCCAGATTTTGACCCTTTTTAGCGGAGGAGATCTCAAGGTTAAGAAGCCTTCAGAAAAATTGGAACTCTTCGAAACTGACTTAAAAAACTCTGCGTCATTCCATCAATCAACTCACTGCGGACAAATTTGTCGTTCAGAAGTTTAAAATAAGTTCCCAGAGGGGAAAAATGATTAAAAATGTGGTAATTTTGACCATAAATCACCGACTATAACGTTAATGAAGTAAATGAAGTACATGAAGTTTAACGAAATAATTTCTAAAAACGTAATTTTTTAAATAGAATAAGTCCGAATTTTCGGACCAATTACTGTTACTAATTCGGTAACAACTTTTCTCTTATTACCACAGTATTCATTAGAGTGTATACTTGTAGATATGTACAAATTCGCCTAAATCTCTAAACCAAACTAATCGCAAAATGTATGTATGTACACATCGGATTTGCCAATATTTCATTCCACGTTACTTTTTACTCTACGAAACGGTCATTTCATTTCATTTCATCCCATTGAGCAACCCATTTCATGTTGGAGGCGAATACTTACAAGAATCCGGGAGAAATAAAGTGCAAAAACATGCACGAGATGAAAACTACGGACGTACGGATACATTTCCCGGTCCGTTCCTCACTCGGGCAGAGAAATAAACCAGGCCCTGATTTTTTGCATGTGCATAAATACATTGTTCTCGCCAAAATGCAAAAAAGAAGAAGAACAACAACATGTTTGGAGCCATGTTTCGTAACCGTCTGCGTCTAGATATTTTCACCAGTAAAAACAATAGCAAATAAGTAAACTAACTTTAATAAAACTACAAAAATTAACCTTACATAAACAAATTTATGTCGAAATCGTCTAAATTTTTTTTCACTATACTCAAAAACTTACAAATAAATAAACAATTTTTTGCTAAACCAAAAATTAGCTTGCATTTATCTCAAAGTTCTCAAAAAATTGATGCCATTTTAGAAATTTGCATTTAAAAAGGGGTGGAATGAGATTACAAATCTATGACGAATCAAATCGTCATCCTATGAAACCTTAATTTTCTGTGAATATAGAGGAGCACATTTAGACAGCCTTGTTTATTTAAATTTCATAAGGGCAATATTTCCATGGCAATGCCCCGCCCAAAATGCCACTTTTGCCCATAATACATACATACATAAATATTCCAAAATTTGGCTTGGTGTTGGTGGTGGCACCAATTTGAAATCCCATCCCCACACTATTTCCATAAATTCCCCTGCCCAAAATGCCACTTTTGCCCATCAATTGTATAAATATGCCAAAATTTGGCATGGTCGCCATGGTGACGCCAACCCCCGTGCTCACAATTGAATATTAAATCACTCCGTAATAATTCCATTATTATACCAACGATACCGAGAAAGTAAAGTAGAATAAAGTGGGGATCGCGATGTATTGAATCTTTCGACAAATCTGTGAAACCTTAACTCACTCACCGACTCCACTCCACTTTGATAACAAATCCAATTATGCCGTAATTAAAGCGAACTTTGACAAAGGTCTTAAACTTATTCCACATTTCTACGAGCCAGCCAGCCAGCCAGCGTGTGCGGCTAATGAAGCGTTCATCGTGCCATTTATGGTGTGGAATTAACCATTCTCCCAATTCCGAAAATGGATCGAGTGACAGAACAATTAAATTCCGACCAAGTCATGCATCCCCATTTCCGGGAGGAGAAAGAAAGAAAGAAAGAAAGGTATCCCAATTATGGGAGGGCGTATATATATTTACAGCGTGGTGGAATAATATGGACGTACCTACGTATGTAACGTGCTCCTTCCCGAGTGTGATTAATGGTGGGAGAAATGAGACGAAATCCGTAAAAAGTGATGTATTCTGTCTGTTTTTTAGCGTTCTCTCGGCAGAAATAGGTTGGTTTTTCTACCTGGAAATCAGAAAATAACGCAGATCGTTAAGATCTAAGTATGCATATTTATATTAAGGGAAAAGTGTGATCATGATTGGTTTTTAATTTGAAAATTTATCAAAATAATGTGTAAGATAAAATTTCAATAGGACGGCTTTCACCGCTATATAGCTGGATTATTTATAACATGGGTGCAAGTTGGTACTTAATTAGCGTATTTTTTAATTTCTTTATGAAACATTGTTACAAAAACTGGATTGATGTGTTATATAAAAAACGACGTTTTGCACAAATTTGCCCCAATTTTTTTCACACTAACAAAAAGTATATTATGAGACCCCCAACTGGTTATTTCTGCACCAGAGTTGCAAGGTTTGTGTGGTTTAGCGATTAAACTGCTTTCTCTCTCTCTCTAATTGTGCAATCATTCTTTGAACGCTCCCCTCATCCAACTGGGTGCAATGCAAACAATTTAAACTCTAAATTCTAAAATGATTTCATAATTGTGACGAATGAAAATCTCGAGCGTTGTAAAACGCAGCATGTGTCGTAGTTACCATCAGTGGCCGCGGAGGGAAGCTTGAGGGGGCAGAGGGACAATGTCCCCACAGTTGTTCGATGTCATCTCCTCATCTTATATAAACCCGACCCTCCCTTATCCTACAATGTTAATGTCCCTAAGATCTTCCGCGGCCACTGGTTTTCATTATTTCATAGATCTCTGGTTTTCATAAGATAAGTGGCCGCGGAAGCTTGTGTGGACAGGGGGACAATGTCCCTACGGTTATTTATTCGATGTCCCCATCAGATCCCTATCTTGTATATGTAAACTCGTCCCTCCCTCCCCTATCCTGCAAGGTGGCTCTCCCCCGATGTCCCCAACTCCTTCCGCGGCCCCTGCTCCCCACCCAGATTACGTGTTGAAATAATGATTAAAACAATTCACATAATGAGTAAATAATTTTATTACTCGTTTAATCCTGCGGCGAGGATTCTGCGTCGTCGTCTCATTTCTGCAGAACGACGAACGGACGAACGGACGGAAGTGCGATGTCGCGTCGTGAATGGGACTAAATTCTCGCTCAGAAAGAGAATTGAATGCGGGGATGACGAATAATAATTACGTGCGGCGATGAAAAGACAGCCCAGAACAAAAAAAAGTGTGGCATTTTCTACACCAAGATGTTCTCAAGGAAGGAATGACTGAGTGAGTGGTCGTAATGGTAATGTCGTCACGTGGTGACCAGGGTTTCCCTCAAAAACAACCGTCCAAAACCGGTTTGGGCACCGAATTTTGGTCGTCCAAAATAGAAAACGGGACAAATTGTTACCTTCAGTTCTTCATTACTGAATCCGTTAACGGGTATGTAATCTCCCATAAATTTGAGAATTTTTTTTACGTAAAACGACAATGTTTAGAAAATTTATAAATTTCTGGAGTAAAAAAAAGCAAAAGTTTCTCCGAATTTCGTGGTATTACAGAAACTCAAAATTAGCAGGAGATTACATTACACATCTGTGCATAGGTTTGCAATAAAGTCGTTCATAAACAATAACTTGTAACATTATTTTGCACAGTTTTGCATGCTTTTTGTCCAAAAATATTTAGTTTGTACGTGCAAAACGAAACACTGCCTACGACATTACATTACGCGAATAATGGCAAATTCTTCTCCTTCATAATTAATTATATCCTATTATCCGCCAAAGTATCCTCGCATCTCGGCGACCACGGCCAAGTGGTACTTTTTGTTTTTCGACGTAATAACGATTCCTGGCTGGATGGACGGGTACGATCTAGTCTAATCTTCTATTGAAGCGAGCAGTGGCCGCGGATGCCGTGGGGACATCGGGGGACATTAACATTGTAGGATGGGGAGCAGGGATGGGTTTATATAATATGGGCAGATGATGCGGACATCCTACAACCGTGGGGACATTGTCCCTCTGTCCACCCCCTTCCGCGGCCACTGACCATATATACGCAAGTACTCGCCACATTTATCATATCAAACACAGCGGCCGCGGAAGCTGTGGGGACATTAACATTGTAGGATAGGGAAGGGCCGGGTTTATATAAGACATCGAAAAACCTTGTGAACATTGCCCCTCTGTCCCCACACCCTTCCGCGGCCCCTGCATAACGACATGTTCGTCGTCCAATTGATCAATATCCTCTCGTCATCCATCCGAAATCCGCTCTGGGGAATTAAATATGTAATTCATTTCTAGAATTTGAAATCAGAAGATTACTGAGAACTTTTATCTCTCAATCCAATTCAATCCCCAATATTCCCGACCCCCGCGGGTCGTCGTCGTCATCTCTGTGCTTCTGTGGTTTCTCTCTCTCTGTACTTCTGGTTGGCTGGGTCCGTACAGTTTTAGTGGAGGGAATGGAATAGCGCTGTATTTACGAGGTCACAGGTAGGTTTCTCTCCGAATATGTCGCCACCACGTCCCACATCGGGAATCAGGGTGCGTGGTGGTGGTGGTGGTGGGGCTGCAAAGTGGTCGATTTCCTTTGAGAAGAAATCATGCAAGTGGAGTGAAAGTCATAAAGGATTGTGACGACGGGGACGACGCCAATATCCTCGGAGACAGGGTTCCGTTTTCAGGTTGGCTACATTTCTTGGAGGGCAAAAAGAGAGAGAAATGGGAGAAATGCGAGGTGCAAGAAACTGTGAGAAATTTGAGCCATTTAACCACGTGTAATATCAGCTACAAAATTTCGCGTATGTCAAAATAGCTGCAATAAACCACGTTCTTGCCGATTTGCAACATTTTTTGCAAGAAATGCAAGGTGCAAGAAACTGCAACAATAAATTGCAAAAAATTACAAGAAAGTACAAGAAACAGCAAAAAGCAGCAAGAAAGTACAAGAAAATGCAATGAACTGCAAGAAACTGCAAAAAACTACAAGAAACTGGGAGAAAGTGCAAGAAATATGCGCCATCTAGCCACGCCCTATACGAACTATTCACACCTGCGGGGCGTACTTTCTCCCACCTTATATTTCTCCCAGGTCAAAATAAACCCTTGCTGGAAACCACTTTCTCCCCCTCCCATTATTTCTTGCACGTGGTTATTTACTTTCACGCGAAACCCTGCCTGTCCCCGTCGTCCCTCTTCTCCTCCTGCCTTTTCTTCTATCTCTTCATCTCGACGAGGAGGCGAGGAGCCTCACTCATTTCGGAACATTTTCCTTTAACAAGTCAAATTTTCCTTCTGAATCCAACCACTCATCTCGTGGTTGAGTGAACATGGAAATTGGGCCCATTCAAGGCGCACAATTCCTCAAAAGATGATGAGCCAGAATTCAATGTTGGAATTACGCAAAATTTGATGGAGTCGCAAAAGAGAGAGAGACAGGAAGCAGTGCTTCGGGTGAAAGTCACCAACCTGCAAGAAATAACGGAGAGGAAGTGATTTCTTGCAGTGGTTTATTTTGACCTGGGAGAAATGCAAAGTGGGAGAAACTACTCCTCGCCGCTGTAAATAGTTCATACGGCGAGTGCTAGATCATACCTGTTCACCTTCATTCATGTGACTGATTATGATAGTGAATGAAAATGAATTTTCTGTCATTTGAATGAAAATGAGTGAAAGATTCAGTCATTTCAGATGAGTTACTGTGAATGAAAGGATATCTCACTCCTTTAATTTTTCACCCAATGCTTCATATATGAGTAAAAGTTAGAAATGAAGTCAGATGAAGTGAAATGAAATGAGTTTGAAAGAAAATGTGAATGAAAATCTTCAGTCAGAAATCGGGATGACTGAACTCTGAATGAAAAAAGTTTTTTTGAACGGTATTTCTTGCACTTTCTCCAAATTTCTTCAGCACCTCCCATTTCTATCATTCCCCTGCAAGAAATCTGCCAAACCCGACAGATCCGAAACACTGCGAAGAACCGACCACTTATTTATTGGCTGCGTAGATATCTGTCTGTCTGTCTGTCTGTGTAGCATATTGAGTTCTACTTACATATAACCGACTCGTTTTTCTTTTACCGACGCAATTAAGGTACTCAATCACAGTAATTTTTAAAGAGAAAGTTGCTGCTCAAATCTGAATTTTTGCCTGATTTCCTAAAATCAATTGAGCCATTAAATTATCCGTCCGCCTGCCTTGGGCGGGATATGAATGAAAGAATGCGCAGTGGCCGCGGAACAGAGGGACAATGTCCCCACGGTCGTTGATTCGATGTCCGCATCATCTCACCATCTTATACAAACCCGTCCCTCCCCTATCCTACAATGTTAACGTCCCCACTGTTCGTCAGAAAATTGGAAAGATACGGATGATGATTTCATGAAGAGAAAGCAGAAATGAAAATTGATTCGAGTACGAAAACCATGGTCGGTCGGTCAGTTTGGTGTAGAAAGAACTTGATTCGTCACGCCACAAGCGTATTATCCACTCTTCATTTCATCCTCGTAACAGCTTTCTCTTCTCCAGATTGAGTGGTCTCTTACATAAAAAAACTCATATTTTCATCTCCACCACGAGACAACAAAAACATGGGCGTCAGTGTTTCGGGTGAAAGTACTACCACGAAATAACGGGAAGGAGAAAGTGGTTTCTTGCAGGGAAATATTTTTCCCTGGGAGAAATACAAGGCGCAAAAAACTATACCCGCCGAGATAAATAGTTCGCACAGCGCGTCGCTAGAGGGCGCATATTTCTCCCACTTTCTCTCGCTTTTCTTGCACTTTCTCCCACCTCACATTTCTCCCCTTTCTTCCTTCCCACTGCCAGAAATGTAGCTAACCTGTCCGAAGCAAAGTCCCCTTTTCTCCCAGAGAAAGCTTTCACCACTGCATTTCTTTCCCCTTTAAAAAACCACTCCTTCCTCTATCTTACTCCCACGACGACGACATGTCACCTTCTCCGACGAGTCGTCCTGATGATGATGATGATGATGACGACCACGTTGATGACGATGACGACTCAAAAAGTGAGGATAATTGGCAGTGACAAAAACCTACACGAGCCGCCGAGGAGCAGTTTTCTCTCT